TATACATATATATATATATATATATATATACATACATATATACATACATATATATATATATACATACATATACATACATGTACTTACATTCAATTATCATGAGCTAATGGATCAACTTGCTATTCGTACATATTGTTGAAATGCAAATACGTAAATATTGAAGTTGACATGTTGCCTCTCTTCTTCCATGTTAACATGAACTCAATCAACTTGTCACATATGTCTTGAACTTATCATAGCTATCCATCAACAAACTGTGACCTGTAGTTATAGTAAAATGAACAATAAATTATATCATATATATAAATCATGTAGGTGTATATATCTTGCATGAAAAGTAAAATGTAAGATGCACTCCATGACCCATGCATTAGGCTGTCGTCTCAGACATATATATATATATATATATATATATATAATCATACTAAATGATCACCTAAATTATCTTAAATGCATGAATGTACTTACCTTAATTGTCAATGATCTATTAGTTAATTCAGCTAACTCAACAACCTCTATTTACTAATTCCTCACAGCCTATGTTTTTCATAGCTTTTGAGAGATGATATTTGGTTAAATAGAAAAATAAGGGCCATTATTTTTTCATCATTAAGTGAATGGGGGCAAACCTTCATATTAGATTGGAACTTATGAAACCTCTTATAAATAAGAATTCAACTTTAGATTATGTGGGGCTATGGGCCCAATTCCTTTATTCTTGGTTTTGCTTTTGGGCTTAATTATCAACCTAGCTAGTTCCTTATCATATTTGGCTTGAATTTTTGTAATCTTTTTCTTCTACGTCCTTTCACTTATTATAATAGTCTTTCTCACTTAGCTGTCTTGGTCAATATTACCCTTGACAGAGTCCACTGACAGTAAGAACATTGAATTGTACAGATTTTTATTGAATTTGTGGAATGAATTTCATCTAAATCTTGACTTGCTATTTGCCTTTTTATACTGCAGTATTTGGATGAGAATAAGCAGTTGATTTTGGCTATTCTGGACAATCAAAATGCAGGAAAAGCTGATGAATGTGCTGAGTAAGTCCATTATCTGATGAATATGCAACATCAATGATTATCGTGATATGTTTTAGTAGATATATGTGATTCAGGTTGATACTTACATCCCATGATATGCCAATAGGTAGAGATGTGCATGCCATTGGAAAGGAAATATTATGAAATAGACTTGTATTATCAATAGTTTTTTTTATGTTCCGTTTTGTGCTTAACTACTTTTTCCACATGACAATGTGGATACATTTAAATTTCTATGAACTTATGGTTCATTGACAATAGATAAAACGAAGTAACACTTTGCTACTATTATGCTTTCTCACTATTTAGTTAAGAAAATAAGCAGACTTGCAGCATTTTATGTATGGATATTAATTAAACAGACTTTTTTTTGTGAGATGAAAGATCAAATTTTTTTCCTGTAACATTATCAGGTTCAACTAACACCTCAGGGCATGTACTAAGAATCAGTACCATATAGTACAATTTCTTGGCCCCTTTCAATCCTTTAATTATTTTCTCTATAGAAGGATAGTCATGCTTCTGTCAGATCCAATATATTGGTTTAATGCATGGTGAATACCGTGTGTGTTTACTTTTCTTGTAGTGTGTGCAAATTATACTCCTTTCTGTTATATTCCATTTATATTCCTGTATATAGAATGGTTTTAAACCTTGATATACACAATGGTCTCTATGATGTACTAACAGAGGATAAAGTGGAGTACAATTTGGAATTATTTGGACTGCATTTGACATTAGGGAATGGGAGAAGTGGAAGTACCGGGATTACTTAAATATAGAAGTTTAGATTTTTTTCAAAATTCTCATGAAATATGCACGAAGTTGATGGTGATCATTTATGGTTAAGTGATATTCCTTGTGTTTTGAAAATAAATCTTATTTGCACATATGTAAATCATATTTTATGCTCCATTTCTATTACAGGAATCAAGCTAAGCTTCAGAGGAATCTAATGTACCTTGCTGCCATTGCGGATAGTCAACAAGTTCCGACCCTTGCTCAGGTGTGCGTCATTTCCAACACTTTATTCCTGAAATCTTCTTTCCAACTCATCATGTATACATGAAAATAACAACCATGAGAATTCTGATGAGATTGTTGGTTTTGTATTCAACTGGTTAATGTGCATTAGGATCATCCCTGAGTTTTTCATTTGCAGAATGATTTTCTACCATATACTTTCTCAATTCTTGAATAAACCATTTCTTGAACCACAAAATTTGATAGATATAGTCCAATTTGGCTAACAATTCATATTTAGTTTTTGATGTGATCTGGTTCACTTTTGATCCTCATATTTCTTTTAAAGAAAGCAACTTGGTTGGTGGTATTATTTAAAACCATTAATTGGTCGAATTGAATAGTTCTCTTCCCCTATACTTTGCAGTTTCCATTTATATATGTCAATCACTATGTATAATCACAGGTTCAGCAATTGTTAAGTTCCACATGTGCTGCTTATACCAAATTGTGTCATGCCTATGCTCCTGAACATGTCTATGCAGATCTGTACTGTTATACATGGAAACACCATTTTATGTTGGTACGATATGAATGTACTGTCCTCAGTTATCTAACCATACGAATGTACTGTTTGTATTATTATTCCCAGATGGTTTTTTTTTCAAGTGTTTTTTAGTTCGAACTTACTAATTACCTAATAACTTACTGGCCTTTCATTTAATTTAAATTATATTTTTGTAAACTGTTATTTTTTTTAGAGGAAGGTCCATGTTAGATTTAAAATAGAACATTGTAAACTTGTTTTTAGTGTAAACATGCAATAAATAGAGATTCACTGGACATTTTTTTTAGTGTAAACATCACAATGAAATTCAAAGGCCACTTAGATTTGGTATGGTTCACTGGACAATGTATCTCTGTCCTACATGGGTTTTCCTTCCTGGTAGATCAATTAAACACGAGACATGAGACTAAGCAGCCAAAGAGGAGTCAGGCTTTAGTTTGTTAAGGGCGCAACTGTAGTAGTTCCATGATTTCTTTGTTTTGAAGTGCAAAATGAAAGAGATTCATTAATATAAGACCTTTATTCAGAAAGCATCCGGAAAAGGAAGTTATGAAAATCATGATCTGGTCTAGGAAGACATGTTCTTTTTGTTTTTGGGTGCTAAACATCATCTTTCATCTTAGTGTGATCTAGATGAAGACAAGTTGGTCTAGGAAGACAAGAAGAATATTAAGTTCCCCACTTTATCATGTTTGAATGAACTCCCACTATTGACTGTGGAACAGGTGAGGCCACTTTCAAACAGGCTAGACATCCGACCAAGAAAGTCAAATATTTTTTGTCATGTAAATTTTCCTCTGAACTTTTTTTTCCTTACCTTGTTTTTTTTTTAATGTTGCTTCAAAGCCATATATCACGTAAACACTGTGGGCTCTTCTGTGGAGAGAAATAGATAAGTGGATAAACATTTTAGTTGATGGGAAGATCTACTTCTGACACCAAATATTCAAAATGGCTGCTAGTATATCTTTGTCAAATGCAAAAGTAAGAACTCTAAAAGTAAAATAAGTTAGCAATGGTCTAAATTATAATTTCCTGCACAAGTCCTTCACAAGGGTGAATCTTTTGGAAAGTCTTTTTCACCTTCTAAATTATAAGCTACGTGGCATTTCCAAATGTCAGGTTAAGATGATGAAAACCATTTTGGAACTTTGTGAAGACAACTTCACGAAGCTCCTGATTTTAGATCAGTGCAATTTTCATGCCTCATCATATTTATTTACCATCAGCAGTTTCCACCCAATACCGTCATGCAATCAGGCCCTCGTTATATCCCACACCAGCAAGCACAGCCCATGACTCCTCAGTCCCTTCTGGCTGCTCGATCCTCCATGCTGTATGCCCAGTCACCGATGTCGACCTTGCAGCAGCAGCAGCAAGCAGCACTGCACGGTCAGCTTGGAGTGGGCTCCGGAGGGAACAGCGGATTCAACGTGCTCCATGGTGAGGCCAGCATCGGAGGTAATGGGATGCTGGCAGCTGGAGTATTCTCCGACTTTGGCCGCAGCAACTTGGTGAAGCAAGAAGCTGGGAATGCATCATCCGCCGAAGGACGTGGAGGCAATCCAGGAAGGCAAAGTGGAGATGGCGCAGAGCCTCTGTACTCAAAGGGCTCAGAAGAGGAAGCAAACCAGTGAGTAGCCGTGCTAGTGTCAATCAACAACTTCAGGTTGGTACAAGGCTTAGGATGACCTGAAAATTTTCATGTTGGAACCTCCAAGTAAACATCGAGTTATGAATGCTGTAGTGGTGGGTATTGATTCTGATGAGGTGCACTCCCATCAGATTTTTCTGTTTGTCCAGTTTGAGGAAAGATTAGTAGGGTAAGCAGGTTGTAGGTGTTTTGCTTAAAGACTTTGTGCTGATACCACTGTAGTGCTTGTAGGTTTGAGTATTTATTCTCTGTGTTGTGCTTTCAGCTATTCGGCATCTTAGTTTGGTTTTAATTCAAGTGTTTGTGACTGGAATGAGGTTGTGATTGTGTTCTTGTCGGGGTGAAGATCTTGCATTTTGATTATGTGATGAAACAGGTCATTTCATCTCTCATGAAGAGCCGATGAAAAGCCGGCTCCTATAGTTCACATGAATATGGGTAGTGTTCATAAAGCATGAAAAGATCAGTAGATAAACTCATCAGAAACTTGAACATTTATGCTGCAGCATTTCTTGATTGAGCTCAGCAGATAAATGGGTGACTAATTAGACAAAGTCAAGGAAACACTCAGCAAATGGTATCATTTAAAGATTCAAAGAGTTGAAGCTTTGTGAACTCAGAATTCATGGTTCTCATAAATTATCATAACCAGGAAGACAGTAGCAAGTCAAACAAAATCACATCATGTGTACACGTTAGAGAATTTACAGCATCAGATATCAGTAAGCAAAAACAAACCGTTGACTCAGTTGCAAGGCTAAAGTAAAGCTTAGAAGCATGTAAACGCACATTTCACATCTGCACAGTGACTCCGGCACTTGCTGGATTTGTTGTAACTGCAAGAGACTTGGATTTGAGCCCTTCTTTGCCCTTTATGTTCTCCGGATTGTTCTGCAACTTTTTTGTGGCTTCCCTGTTGGTACCCAGACTGTGACGATGAAACCGTCCACATCCTCCATTGCAGTTATCCTCTTCGGTTGTCTTAGCGTCACCATAGCTTTTTCTTCGAGTGAGATTAGGTGATTTTGCACGAGTAGGAGGTACCTTTTGTACAAAAAGAAGATTGGCCTAACTAATGCAGAAACAAGCAAGCGCGTATAAGTAATAATTTAAGCATAAGAGAGCAATCAAGTGGAAGGGACTACAGCCACCGGCCAGGCAACAAAAAAGGTTGGATGAGAAGTTGAGGACCTTGGAATACAATGCTTTATGCATGATGAAAGAAGAAGAGATGCACTAAAAGTTTTACTTGGAGAATATATTGCGTAGCAATCACCACATTCAACCACCTTTTCTTTTAAGTTAGGACCTACAAATTTTCCCCTTCTTGTTGCGTCCGTATCTTGGAATCACCACAATATAAGATAATTATTTGCAACTAAAAACAGCATAAGAACCATCTAAAAGAAAGTGAGTATGTTCACTAAAGAGATGACTACAAGAAAGATTCATTTTGCTAGGAACTTTACGTGAAACATCTAATTCTTGTAAATTGAATGAATAACTTGAAAAATTTTTAACACAAGTTAATCCGCAAGGAAACATTCTTCTCAACTATAGTTGTTTTTTCTATGTGCATGTGTAATTATGCTTAAATGGTAAATCTAAGGTAGCAAAGCATATAACTTGTTCATCATTTGCAAGACATGCATCATTGAGTATGAAACTTTAAGTAATTAATAAAGCACTCCTGACACACGTTATTTACAATAAATACACAAAACAACTGCTTAGTTCTGCTCAGATAAAATGTTTATGTATCATAAGCAATGAAATTAACGTGAACAATATAAAATTGCAAAAAATATTTGCTGAACTTCAGCCACTAGCAAAATGAAAATTTTCATTGAAACACTTAGCATCTGAGTACCATCCATGCCTTTTACCAATTTTGGTTTACTTGAAAAGTTGAATTACAAGTGCATTAAGTGCAAACTTAGGGTAAATACCTTCTTTAGTTCAATCTTAGGCGGAGGACCCTCACGGTAGAAGCTAGGCATTGGGTTTGCTTTAAAGATCAAGCTCTTCCTTAGTTTTCTCAGAGCTGCCTCTTGCTCTTCCTAGAAAATGTAGGAAGTTTAAATTTTAGCAGAAACCAAACCAGGCATTTTCCATAAGCCTTTTTTCAGACTAGGAGTTATTCACAAAAACGTCTTGAAGGAGAATCATTTTAAATTCACAAAACTATGAAAAATATTCTGGTTCTAACACAAGTATAAGACGACATACATATGCTTTTCTAAAAATAACCTTCCATAAAACAAAGATAAAATTCATGAGTAGGTGGGGGATTCAAACAAAATCAATTTACTATGATATGAAGAGCGGACAACATAAAAAAGTTCTAGCAGTTATAATAGTCAAGATTTTATTTGGATAAACCTATTAATTTAAAATTAAATATTTTCTTTCTCAAAACTTCGAAAAGTGTTCCACATCAACTTTGCCTCTTTGCTCTAGTCCACTAAGCCCCTACACATGTGAAGAAGCCTCATCAAGTTGACTTTCCCAGAACAACCTATTTAATCTAAAAGCATACTCCGCTAGTATGGCTGTCAACTGCCTCAACACTGATACAGCTTATCCAAATTTACATATTGTGGGAATCACCATCATTAAAAATTGATAGACACTAGTCAAAATGTCACAAAAGCAGTTCCAATATGAACATACTAATGTGTTTTTTTTCTCAAGGTGAATTATATTATTCAACAATGTCACTGATTTTTTCTTGACAATCTAAGACAAATAAGAGAATCACCAAGCATTATTTTCGGGGCATGGATATATGATGGGTTTACATTTTTGTTTTATTCACATTAAACATATTGCATTTTAATAACATGACTGATTGCAAATAGATGCATGAATCAGTTAAGTGGCTTGTAAGGATTATAAACTAATGTTACTGTATCAGGCATCAAGCATAAGCCAAAAGTTGAGCAACCATGAAAATAAAATTTACGAGGACTGGTTGTGTATCATTGAGTCATTGATTACATCTCACTACAAAAAAACTTTTAATAAATCAATTACTCAAGTGCCAAGCAGGTGAGCTACGGTCAAGCCATGCTGCAAAGATATTTGCTCAATGATATAGATGTTCTGCTTCAAAACCAGAATATAGGGTACATATGCAGAATAAAAATGTGGGTTTTATTTTGCGATGAAGAGAAGGAGAGGTCAAAGAAATCATTTGTATGGTTAATAGCAATGGCAACAAGTTCTGTAGATCAGAGAAATAGATTCTAGTTCTTTACAGTAAGTATCTAATTTTGAATTGTACAAGTGATCAATTAGCATGCTTATTGGAGCATCATGCAAGACTTGTCAAGTTAATACTGGAGAAAGTTTAAACAAGTTTATTTATCATTTTCATATAGTTAGGACCTTCTCATAACTCATTTGTATCGTTTATAGGAAAGGCTAATTTTGTATATCAGAAACGTAAATATTGGTTCTTACAGGAATATCTAATAATTTCCTATAATTTTATGAAAATTTGCATAAGTGATCAACTAGTATGTTTATAGAAGTATTACATTAGACTTCTTATACGACTGGTAGAGGAAATCAAATGACTCTAAATAATAATTTGTGAAAAATATGAACAGTAATGCCCCAACTACGTGAGGTGTTCGCAAAACATAAAATAAATGTATAATAATGAGCTGACAACCACAAAATGATGATGGCATTAATAACAAAGCGTGGCTGATGAGCTCTAAACATGATCTTTCGCCAATACAAAAATGTGAAAAAGCAGCTGGCATTGCTGCAGACAACCATTAGCGCAAAGTGTTTGTATAATGCTGCAAAGTCCAATTATAGAAGACATTGCAATGTACTTATGCCAATCCTGGAATGCAAAAGACCGAAATGCAGTCAATGGAAACAGGGGGATAGAATATAAAGAAACCACAGCATGGTACTCTTGTGAAAAATACAAGTAATGTAAATCGGTTTTTTTGAAAAAAAAAAGAAAAAGAAAAGAAAAGGGAATCTGCACAACCACAACAAGAACATTATAATTAGCCTGAAATATTACAATGGTATATGGGATAATCCCCAATAACAAAGCGTTGTATCAACTAAAATCCAGCTTTAGTATTTATTTCATAATTATTTTTTAGTTTGTAATAATTAATGCTCTGTTTTTACATATCCAAGTAAATCCATGTTAAACATATTCTGAGATGGACATGATACCACAAAGATTAACTTGTCCTGTACCATTACTGAGGAGATCGATAGAAGCCAGAAACATACCCTTAGTCTAGCTTCAGACTGGATTTTCTCAGCTTCCAGAGCCTGGTGCTTCTGTTCTAATTTAAAGTAGAACTAAGCACAAGAGAAAAAGAAGGGATTAAATTCAGCAGATTAAGATGTTGTCAAATTGCATTTGACAGACAGAGATAATACCTCCTTCCGCTTTTCTGCACGCTCACTGCATCGGAAAGCAGGGGCAGTAGCAGTTGCCACAGTTGTCCCGCCTTTCAAAGTTCTTATGGATAGTGCAGTACTATGAAATAGTTAAGGATAATCTAACATGGGGACCATATGAAGATAGACATAATAAGAAATAAAAGTAGATGAAGGATACGAAGCAACAGAGTAACAATCCTCGTTATCCAGGGGCATCGAGTTATCAGGTTGCAAAGGCATCCTAGATGTGAGAGGCGAGTTATACTGCGATACATTTCAAACCACCATGAATATTTCCTAGATACACCAATCTTCAGGTTGTCCAAAGTACACCTCAAACAGAAAATAAAATTCTCTCAAGCACACTCACCAATTATTAAAAAATAGATATCATATTTGCGATCCTTCTAAAATCATTCAAAGGTTTATGCAATGTGCACCATGAAAAGTTCTTTTCTTTTTAAACGTTTCAAACCAACGAGTGCGAGTAGATAATAATACAAGGCTTCCAAAAGAAAAAAAGGAATTCATCAGAGCAAAATCAAGGTGCAACATGTCATCAACAGGATCAGACCATAGAAGCCAGATAGAACATGCCAAATATATAAAACCATCTTGTGAACTGCTTAGTAGGGAACAAACCACAAATAAGATGTATGCAAATTCCATGAATTTCAAACGAACAGGCATTAAATCTTTAAAAATTCATTTTTTTCATATAATTCATCAAGATGATGATTTACTGAATCGTTTTCTTTTCACTTTCATGCCTCGGAACTCCATAAAATTTAGCATTTTCTTCTTCTATAATAGTTCATCTGACAAAAAAGATCAGACCAATCAGAGGATCTGATTATTAAAGAAAAATCTTCGTAGAACAAGAAATAAACATCAGCAATGGAGGACAGCATTTACGCAAATAAAGCTCCTGAGGGTTATGACGTAACACATGATCACAAACTAATTGAAACTATGAGAAAGAGACAAACATAGGAAAGAATCAAGCGTAAGTGACGACGCATTCATCCATTCTCTTGAGATAGAAGCAATGCGCAAACTGCTCGCCCTATTAGACCCAAAAAGGAGCACTTTTTTAATGAAGGCACGAACAACAGAATACCAAAGCCAGAGAAGTGGAAGGAAAAGAAAACATTATCTTCAACCATTTAAATCAGCACCCAAAAAATGCATCAAAACCATTTGGCGCGGAAGCAGAAACCGCATTAGCCCACGATCTCAAAATGCCGATCCTGAAAAGATCAGAAAAGGCTCAATAGAGTAGAAATTAGATAAAATCCCAACAACAAACGCGAGATCCTAAGCGTTAGCCGATCATCCTCTGTGTTTGGACCCCTCAAGCATTCGATTCAGAACAAGAAAGAAGTCAAACCCCAAACGAGAAAGAAGGAAAGGAAAGGAAACATTGCCTTGGACTCTCGCGTTCGTTAGGTCGTCCTGATCCTTCCCCTTCCTCCTCCGTCTCCGCCCTCGTCTCCTCTCAGGAGGGGCGGGGGACGCCGAGCTCTGCGAACCTATTTATCGCGGCCTTAATTCATGACGCCGTCAGCTAACGGCGATGCGATCCAAATCTCGCGAGTTGTGCGTTCGAGTCGTTCGCAGGTAACGCGGGCCCCTCGTCATGTCGGGGATGGTAAGGTTACCTGCACGGGGCGTCGGTGATGGGACCCCCGTATAGTCCGCCAAAAAACGGGACACACTCAACAATGCTTTCCCACGCCTTCATGCCAACCCAGAAATCAACCTTCACTACTATTGGACAACAGAATGGGCCACCGTATGCTTTGCTGTCATTTCCGATCAAAAATTATGGGTACAAAACTCGTAGCAGTTTTAATGTACGTTACGTCCTGTTCTAACGTTACATAGAAACCGTTATAATCTGTTGCATTAATGCGTTTGTAACAATCATCCATCATATTAATACAATATCGACTTCGGGCTTTGATTCACTTGAGAATAATTGTATCACATTTGGTGTCATCATTACATCTTTCTTTTAAGTTATAATGATAGGTTTTTACAGTGAGTATATGAAGGGGAAAATATTGTAAATGTATATCATCACAATTTTAGAGGTGACATTCATGTCTCATGTTCCTTTGACCCAAAAGAAAGATATCATGATCATTATCCTCTCTCTCTCTCTCTCTCTCTCTCTCTCTCTCTCTTTATAGTATGCTACTTTTAGGGTGGAGAAAAGTGTTGTTGGGGTGCAAGAGAAATATCATGTCGGGTGTGGAGGGAGAGATCGTTACGTTTAATTGGATGAGGTCTTGTTAGGGTGCATGAGGAGATTATGATGTCCACGTCAGAAGGGACAACATTAGGTTGATATGGATTTCCCTATATAATTATTTTTTTATTTTTCTCATTTACCAATAGTTTAGACAAATTAAGATCGGATTAGGATGTCATGTACATTGTTTAGGTGCGTTAATGATATGCTACCAAGCATGATCCATGCACGTAGGTTTGTCATCCATTGGCACTGAGTCCCTTTGAGATTTGTGCAAGGCCGATAGGGTTAAGGTTTTGTTTGAGTAAAATTATTGTTATTTAGTTATTATAATAAAAATATTATTATTTAATTATTATGAAAGGTATCAACTTAGCTTAACTAATAAAGATTTTGACAGTATATATATATATATATATATATATATATATATATATATATATATAATTTGATTGTTGGTTAAAATTCTCATAATAATGATTAATACATGATAGTAAAAAGTAATATTATTCGAATTATTTTAAATTAATTATGGTCAAAGGTAATTATTTTAAGTTTTTATGGGAAGTTTTATGCTGATACTAAATATAACTTTATGATTTTAGATGGAAAGTTTGCTTTTGGAGACATTGACTAATCTTTTACACACTATTCCCTTTTAAATTATTATCAACCAAAACACATTATTAACATGAAAGCTGAATTTTATGACTTTTACAAATCATTTTTTTTTGTTTTATGTAACTAAATATTTTAATTTTTGAAATATTAATCCCAGTACCCCTCTCAGAATTCAGCATTCCATATTCCTATATCATTAAAAAAAGCATTTTTATTCTATTCCTGGTTTAAATAAACCTAATTATTAACATAAATTGCGGTTCATTTTAACCATTGGAATATCTCCTCAGAGACAACTCTTCAGCCCAACAATGTTTTATATGGGCTGGGCTGGGCTTTTCCATAGTTGGGCTTGGGCTGAAATGTTCATGATGGAAGTTGAGGTACATATATATGGCAGCATAAACTATTTCATTATGTTCATTACATCAGGTTTGAATTCAATAAAATTCATCAGTGAATTGCCAGATTTATTCATTTAAATACAAAATAAAAAATTTGATTCAAGAGAAAAATAAATCCAATAAGTATAATAATTCATCAAATTATTTGTTGATGTGAGAAGGGGATTGTGGTCATTGCTAACTTCACCAACAAAAGAATCATGCACAACTCGAAAGCTTAGTTAAAAGCATTCATTAAATTTTGTTGTGATCTTGGTCGATTCATTGATCACATCAATGTTTTTATGACTCAAATGAGCAACATAGATGTACCATAGAATCAAGTAACAAGATTGCTTGCATCACCCTGAAATGTTCTTGCTTGGTGAACAATTTGAGGCCTAACATAGCCACATAATTTGACTCTCTAGATTAGATTTCGGTGGAATCACTTGCAGTGTCCACAAAGTCATCATTACTATAAGGTCAAAAAGGCATGTAGATTTGTCATCTTCTCATTTGTTATTCATGGATGCTAGTTTATGCCCATCATAATCTTACGAAAGACCACAACAATAGATCAAGACAACTCAATTATTATATGTGAAGCATCCAGTTGATGGAGGTTTCTTAGAGCTAAGTAAAGAATTTGTGATAAGAATCAAACTTAGTTTAATCTAACCCTCTTTCTTCCACCTGAGAACTTCCTAGGTAGGGTTCTTGTCAATAGATTGTAGTTAGGAGAAGGCCAACTTTTGTCACATTAATTATTATCTCCATTAAAAACTATATATTTTTCCTTGCACACTTGTCATAGTTTAGGGCAAAGAGGATGAACATGCTTGCTTACAACCTCAAAAAGCAAAAGGTTGTCAGGTTGGCTTGCTAGTAATTATGTTCTTTGATTCTTAGTTGATTAGCAAGCCATTATGTTCTTTGATTCTTAGATGATTGATCTTCATTATGTTTTGATACTGTGTTTTTTTTTTTGACAAAAATCCACCATCCTCCAATTCTTTATTTTTTTCTTATTAATGTCATTATATCTAAAACCTCAAAATTAATTGATAAGACATTTTATACTTTTATATTCTTAACACTTTTCCTATATATAGGTGTCAGATAGCTAAATTTTTTTCAATATATATATATATATATATATATATTTGTACATTAAACAAATATATGTCATCAAGTCTTTCTTCTGTGATGTTTTGCTCCTTTCGTGTTTTCTACTAAAAGACAGCAAATTCTTAAGCTGGAAGGGTGGCTTATGAATATAGTATACGAGGAGAATGGAAGTTGGCAGACAGTGGATGGCAATGTCAGGCCACCAACAAATATAGTTTGTCCCATTTCACTGAAAAGTCTGCTTTCAGATGATTCAGGGGTTTCTCCATGTACATTTCACATCTTTTTCTGAAGCATTCATTAGATATCACTTCCCATGGATCATAGCAGGACTTCCATGTTTTCACATCAAACCAAAGTGGGTGATAGTGGAAGAGCAAGTGGAATCCTCTGCTTGGATTTTTAGCACTTTCGGCAGCTTCTATTTGTCCAGATATCTTCCATTTAGTGAGCTGAGGTAATGAATCATATAATGATTTATTCCAATGTAACTGCACCCACTTCCACATTCAAAAGCATGTTGTAATCTGCACATTGTTTAAGATCATCAAGAGCCCAACCATCATCAATTGAAATAAGAGAGAAAAGCTGTGAATTGACTGTGTTTTCATGTCAGCAGTGAAGAATTACCAACACAATTCAGTAAGCAGAGCAAACACTGCAAGAAGAATCCAAGTGAAGTAAGCATATTTGTGGTACTGATAAAGAGCTGTGATACAAGGAATACATGACATCTCAGAAGACAACAATGAAAGAGGTTTCATGGCAGTTTCAGAGTGCAGAGAAGCACTTCACTACAGAGACATGAACACAAGTACTGGCATAACCTTGTCTTAGGACACAACAGAAGTGGTGGACAAGACAACATGCAGGCAAGCAGACACCGGAGGAGCAAGACTGGAAGCTACTCATGAAATCCACTGCTACCCTCCAAGACTGCATAATCTCCATTTTGAATTTTGCGAGTTTGTTCAACTCTACTTTGATGAACTCATTGCCATGAATGATTCAGACCTTTCCATATGAGATAGCTTCCATATGATACATATAAGAGAAATGCTTCCAATTAACAGCTCCCCATTTCTTGAGCACTGTTAGAGTAACATTTATACAGGACAGTTCCGGGAAAATCAGTTTGTAATTTCCCTCCAACTTACAAAAAGATGCTGGACCTTTGAGAAACTCATGCTCTGACCACTTGAAGAGGTGGCACAATCACCCCAAAAGGAGGGGTGATATGTTAGATGATCGGCGGATGGGCTTGCTAATGATGAAATCTCTAAGCCCTCTATGTCTGAGCAGACTGGGTAAGCAGCTTGGCATGGTTGTGCTCGCCTTCATAAGTAACAATGAGCATCGTGGGGTCTTCCAAGCACCTTTCGACATGCTTCCTTGCAGGGCAGCCCCTCATGCTGCTGCACTTGTAGTACCCCCTGCATTATATTTTACATGAATTCTTCCTTTTATAGATAAAATTCAATCGTAAGAAATAACAAAATGAAAGATCTAGTGACTTTCAGATATTAGAAACTAAGCCAAGAATTTCACAAAGAATTTAAGGAGTAAATTACATGAATTTTTTAAAACATTATCATTATTGTGCTTAATGCTTTCTTGGTTACACACTATGTTCCTTCCACCACTTCAAACAAGACAATACCAAATACAAAGATAAGCAGAAGAAGCTGTTACTTCCCAAAAACCAGCAAGATTAACAATATTGGCAAGAAAAATGTTTGTGTATTTTAACAAAAGCACAGCTGAATCTAATTTTTGATTCCACTGTTCTTTTATGAAAATTGGTAACCAATGACGAACGTAGCCAATAAATTGGATTTAAAGAGAATGTCGAGATAATTTAGCCCCAATTTATTAGTCTTCCAAGGTGCTGTTGACATTCAGTGAAAAGTTATCACAGTGGTGTGCTTGGGCATTCTTTGAATGTGCTGCACATAGAAAAAAAATTCGAGCAGCATAAATAGAGATACCATATTACCAATAAGTATGGGCACAGTCTTGACCATCCAGAAATTCACAGCAATTCAGAGAATATTTACATGGAGATTGGCATGAGGATTTTAGTCATACGGTACCTGGGATGTGGAGAGCCCTTGATTGGTTTTTGCCCATACTTCCTCCAAGAGTACTCATCGGGAGGAATGTCAGCCAGTTTATTACTGATAGCAGGCACCTTAATGGATCTCTTCACTCTCAGCTTCCTAGAGGTAATACAAGTAACAAAGATCACATATAATGCAAAGAACAACAGTTCCAATACTGAATGAAGATAACATATATGACCTCACCTCCTCTTTGAGCAATGACACCGGCCGCTTGTTGCACATTTGCCATTCCCATCCTCCCCTCTACATACACACCTCCTCTTGGGAGGAGGATGCAGGTTAACCGGATCAGATGATGCTGGTCCACCAATCAAATGGAATGATTTTCCATCAAAGCTGGCCACACTCCCGTCCATGCTTAGCGACGACAAGAAGGACCTAGCCGTCGATGCAGATGGCGTATGGCTGGAGCTCTCAAACTTGAGGTTTATGGTACTGTGACTCCTCCGAAACATGTCAGCCTGAAGCTTCATCTGCTGATGAAGCTGAAACCTTGGATCATTCTGCTGATGGAGCTGAAGAAACTGGCACTGGCTTGAGGACGAAGCCTGTGACCCAAATTGGTTCTCAAGAAGGCTCCTTTGAGTGATTTGGAGTGGGTTTCTAGAACTTGACTCCAAAACTACTTGTCTGTTCTCTAAAATATTTCTCTGGAGGAGATGGGGTGGGTTGGGACTACGATCCATCTTGGACACTAGCTGATTATCTGAGAAGAGATTATGGTTGGAGGATGATTGGACTTTATTGACAATCCTAACTCTTCCATGACCAGAACTGTTGCTGAGCAAAGACACCACTCTCTTAAATCTTGAAACAGCATCCCCTGTTTCTGCCAACAGGATTGTAGACTGGACTTGATCTTGAGACTGGGAGAGAAGGTTCAAAACTCTGTGGCAGCTCTCCACTGCAGCTCTATGAGCTTTCTCCACCTCCTCCATCTCAAAACCACAGCTCAAAATCACCCTAAAAATCTCATGTATTTGGAACCAAGGGCATCTGAGAAGTCCCAACTGCACTTCATCAGAAGGATCTAAAGATTACCAGTAGGAACAAAAATTGGATTTTGATGAGGGTGTCGCTTGCTTTCTCACAAGAGAAAGAAGAGTTCTTAAAAGATGGAAACCATTATACTGTGGATGAAATTGAAGAAAATGCATTAAGCATCAAACAACCAACCAAGAAAAAGCTCCAAACAAAAAAAGAAACAACGAGACGAAAGGTCGCAAATTTAAGCTCGGAACCTGGTTTCAGCAGGCAGATCTTCCAAAATCCAGTCTAACAAAAGACTCATCAAGATCATATTTTGACCATCGATTCGGCCTCAAAACATCAGAAAAGCAGCTCGTTCAAATCGATGGCACGGATTTTGATGAAAGGTGACCCGGAAATCTAGCCGAGTGAATCAAATACACCACGGCAAGGAAACGGGCGGATAGGAGGGGGGCATGAGAGAGCTGACCTTGGACTTGGGAAAGTGGCAGGGAAGAACCCTAGAGTGTTGGTCTTCCTATGGCGTCCGTGGGATTGGAAGGCGTGAGGGAAACAACATGAGCCGCGTTGGAATTTTCCTCCGCCTCCTCCTCCACTTTAGTACTTTAATACCCGAGCGCGAGGACTAAAGTGTTAAAACTTGGAATTATAGGGGGCGCATTATAATTTAGAGCATGAGTATTTTTATGCGTTTCGGTCCCTGTATTTATATATTATTGAATTTCTCACCACCCACGTATTAAGTGGAAACGCGGTGAACATATACTCCCGACCTGGACACCCAAATTCGTACCCGTGTAGTGATTGCCTAGTCCAAGTGGAACCCAGAAATGATGGACCCGCTCTTTTGGATGTTATTTTGATTTCTCACCACATATTATATATTCATTAGAAGTAATATTTTAAAATTAATGCCCATTTAAATTAGTGTATTTTATTGATATACTGTTTTATGATATTAAATAATTTAGTTAGAATTGATGTTGTGGCAACCATGCAACACAACAACACTTAAATAACAAGTTGCAACTCCATCCCTTCTTTCTTTATATATAGCACAAATTTAAAATTAATTTTTTTTTTTTCTAATTTTTACTATCATATTTAGTTATACATAAGCATATATTCTTCTATACACCTTACTGAAAAATCATCAATTCATATAACTGTAGTTCCACCCATAATTGTTTTTAATCATATCAATTATTTCTAGCACATAAATTCTTGTCATTATGATCATTAATACTCCTATTATATATATATATATATATGTTGTAAATTTAAAGCCTAATATACTTTGGCATTGCATAAAGTCAATGGAGCAGTTTTCGATGAACCAAAAATAAAAGAAAGAAAGAAAGAAAAAGAAGAAGATTCCCTTAAGCAACTTTGACGAGATGATCGAGAGGTGGCTCGGAATCCAAGCATCGGAGATGATTATGTCGGACAATAATCTAGATGCCAATTATATTTGACATCGTTTTAGATGAAATGATGGCATTTGTCAAAAGATCTTGGGATTTGAAAGGTCAAAGTTAGGTCGACGAATTTGGAAAGCCTTGGTGTCTTTTCCAACCTTGCAATTAGTTCTTGTTCATGCTTCAATTATAGAGCAATGACATGCATGTGACTTTGAGAATGAATGGTGAACAAAGGCATGTCTGATTGGTAATTGGGAATGGCCAAACATCTTATGTGTTTCAATCTTATCTAGTGTTTGAGTATGATGAGGGAAAATTAGTGGTCCCTCGATTGCACCATTAGAAAATGATAGGTGGACTACATAACAATGACTTGATAGGTCATTTATCAAGAGATTCTGATGTTGCTGTAGTTTAATTACTTGCAAAATTTCTTAGAAAAAAGATTGGTTTCTAAGCTTGTCAAATAGAAGGATGACATATTTAGATCATCTTGAAATGTTTGTAAAGACTGCTGATGTGATGATCATAAGCAACTCTTCCTCCACTGTTGCAGTAGCATCCCACCCTTTCATCAAACTTCTTCTGGCATGTCTCTCGGTTTGAATGAAGCATTTCAACGTTTGCTAAAGATTTACTCGTTGATACTGATTATTAGTATCACTATCATTTCTCGAAAAGGAAAACAAGTATCATTTCCCATCATCTTTATGAACTCAATCATGATGATGATGAGGCCCATGAGCTGATCAAATGTCAAACTTTGAAGCTCCTCATCTTTATCCTGACTTCATTGCACACGCCAAGTTGTCTGTGCTTACTGTTCATCTTCATACCCCACGCTGACCTTTTTTCTTATTGTAGCATCTGTTATCTCACTCACATTTCCTTTCATATGCATAAATCTGTGAGATATGAATCCTGATACATTATGAAACCTAGCAAGTCGATACCACAACTATCCAAAATCATCCACCTAATAAAGAGGGGACAAATGCCTTGGAAAATACTGCAAAACATCTTCTCCAGGTAAACTTTTCATCATCTTCTTAGCGAGGAATATGAGCAAACACTTGCCCTATCTGCAACCTCGTCAGATCCTCGTCAGACAAGATTAGCTTCTGTGTGCAGGCCGCTGGATTTTGAAAAGCTTCGATCGTTTCGGGCATGCAACCCTATGGTCAACCTGCATGCTGGCGGCCTATCACTTTTCTTTCATGTAGCAAAGTTAGGCAGAGCAACCTAACTGGTCAATGGGTAATTAATTATCTATATCTTGCATCTGATATGTGATAATTTCGTGAATCATTGTACTTAAACAATTCAAAGAAATTAACTCCAAACCGATAAAGATCGACAAGTTGATTTGAATACTGTTGTTCTGTATCCATCTCTTCTTCCTCTATGTAGTGCTTACCAAGTAAGAGAATGTGCAAGCATCCATGGATTGATCCTAACACGTAAGACGAATGCCTACTCGGTCATGGTCAATCCTGACACGTAAGACTAGCACGCATCCATCACGTGTTGACGTGTGCAGATGTGCGTGTCCGTATCTATAAATACCTCCGTCCCTCCTCGGGGAGAGGGTGTGCAACAATACCATCTTCTTACAGTCAGAAATCCACATCTGCTAATGGTGAGAAGCTCTGCTATGCTTCCATGTCGTTTTTCCCTTCTCTTTTTCTCTAAATTAGCCAATATTATGTTGTTTTATCCGCTCAAAATTGGGTCGATAGTAATTGTTCTGTGTTGTACGTGCATACGTGCATGCATGCATGCAGGCTGGAGCGATCAAGGTCGGGACGTGGGGCGGGAATGGAGGGTCCGAGTGGGACATGGGCCCTGCTTACCGCATCGACAGCGTCAAGATTAACGCTGGGGACATCATCGACGCGATCGAGATCACCTTCACCCGTTATGGGTTGACCGAGACCCAACACTACGGTGGAACGGGTGGCGAACCCCATGAGGTATCAATACCGTGTTCGTCTTCGTAGTCGTCGTTATCTTCTTCTTCCCTCGTGTTATCGATTTGATATATATCTGTTCTTGATTCTGGTAATCAATCTCAGACTCTTCATGGTTGATCTATGTGTTCTTCTTTCTTTATATTCTGAATCTGAACCCTAATATTGCCTCGTATATATCTGCCCTTGATTCCATCAAACAAGCACAGAAGCTTCGTGGCTGACATGATCATGAGTAGAACAAGTTCATTCTCAACAGAACACAGTAAAAATCGAATCGAGCTATGGCAGATTCATATATACACATCTTCCAATCTTGCTAGCTAATGTGTTCTTCTCCATTTTTCTGTGCTCTTTGTTGACATGGATTGCACTCAACTTAGAAATTAATCTACACGCCATAATTGATGATGAGAAAAGAAGAAGAAGAAGAAAAAACGAAGGAAATGAGTTCCAAAATATGATCTCGTCATCAATAGCTTCGGCCTCAACGAGTCTTTGCTTTTGCAGATCGCTTTCGAGGATGGAGAATACATTATGTCGATGGAGGGACATGTGGTTGACTACTTTGGGTTGACCATCATAGGGAAACTTACTCTAACCACCAACAGGAGAACCTTCGGCCCTTTCGGAGCGTACGAGGGAACTCCCTTCTCCATTCCTGTAGCGGAGGGTAAGATTGCAGGGTTCTTTGGACGTGCTGGTTCTTTCATAGATGCAATTGGGGTTTACTTGATGCCCAACTAGAAGAAGAAGAAGGGTTCCTAACATTCGGATGCTCCAATGAACAAGGATTGCTGTTTGCTTGCTGTGTGTGTGTGTGGTTGCTACAATAAATGATTTGGATGCTCCGATAAGTCCTAAGTGTTGTAATAAATAAGTTGGATGTTTCTTTAAATAAAATTATTATTGTGTACTTTGATAAATGCCATCCTCTTTAACATATATATATATATATATGTATATATATGTATATATGTATATATATGTATACATATATAAATATATATATCTACATGTATATATGTATACATATATTAGTGTGTGTGTTTTGATGGTCTCTCAAAAGACTTCAGCATGGCCAGCTTTTGGTTTTAGATAAGAGTTGCATCATCAACCATAATATATTTTCTAGCAATTAAAGGATCAAACCTGACCACAGAATTATATGACTTTGATTAAAAAAGAATTACAACAAAAAGAAAAAAAATACAGTGCCATTTCATACACCTACGGAACTGACACTATAAATGGACATTGCCTGTGAATCATTACTACCACAGCACAAACTCAGTGCAAGTTACAAGAAAAAAAGAATCAAACATGTCACTTACATTAGTGAACATAAACCGGGAAAGAGCTAACACAAGTCAGCGACAACACCAGAGTTTATAGGAAGGGAGTAGTCTTTGACATCCCTAATGCCCAGGGATCACAATGAAGATTATCGAGGAAGATTGTTGCCTTGCACTCATTGAGCAGAAACCTTGCGGCGACCGTAAGCTAGCACCATAACAAACTCCTTGGCTGAGGTTCCGATGGAAGCCTGCAGCTTCTGTGATGATCCCCCTCTTAGCCACTGTTCTACTAAGTTGTGCAGGGATGTCGCAGGGCTCACCGGTTCACCACGGCATGTGACTGCCACCTGCAACCACCCGATGAGCTTTGAGCCAAAGAAAACTGTGGCTCAGTACATACAAGTGCCATGAACCCTGAAGTTGACAATGTCATAGTAATATTGACTCATTCGCCGAACTTGAATATGTTGTCTCAAGCTTTGTTCTGTTGGTAAAAGCGATTTAATCTTTGCATCAGTAGGGCACACATGATGCGTGCCACTGATATCATCTATATAATTTGCCTTTTTGTCAAAGTATTTGTTTATATAATCATACATGAATTATGACGAGATACAATCGACAAGCATCACTATGAAAGCACATATAAAAGCATGCCATCCATCATGGTGTGTGTTTAATGCATAATACAGTAATACCAGCGTTGTTAAATACGATGAACAATGCCAATATGAGAATGAGTTGGTGGATGTCTCGCAAAAATGGAAAAAAAAATATTATCTGACAATTAACTAATGTAATTTGAGACATCGGATATCATATTCAGGATAGTATATGCATGTGCGCAGGATATTAGAGTTTCATTTCTACATCAATACTCTCCATGGTTACAAAGAACACCTTAAGGCATTTGCATCAAGCTTCAAACTTAGTCCACTGTACATGTTGGTTAATTTCTTCATGATGGCATAATACTGGGAAGTAAATACAGGGTCAAATAGCATAAGAATAATAAAACATAACTAAACTGGTAAGGTACAATTGCACAAAAAAAGAAAATTCATTATGGGTTGTAAACTGAAACCATTTAGGTTCATGCCAAACGCCTGGGCAAGGCACTTGAACATGTTTACATAAACTAGTCGAGAAAGCATACATTTTGGCTTTTGCATCATGCAACTCCCAATGTAAACAGCACAACTAGGAATGGCAATAAATGGTTTCATAAGCTATATGGACAAATCACGGTTTTATCAAATCAGAGGGCTAGAAGATAATCCATTTGATCTCCTATGGTGATAAATTTACAGGAAACTGCAGTAAATTATTTTCTCAAACAACGGGTACAAGAAATTGGTTTGTTTATTCTGACATGAATGTTAACACTCCAATGTACTCATACTGTGATAGTATGATAGCACTCAAAAATCATAAAAGAAAACCATACCTTACAATTCCAGCCTTTTATCTAAGGTAACAGAGGTCTTTTTTAAAAGAGGCAAACTGACATCTCTCTATTATAAGAAAAGTCTCTCTTGTATATTTCTAAGCAACTAAAAAAAGATAACAAGCTATTTAATGCTCGAAAGTACAATTAAACTGTGACAAAAGAAATAATAAATTGACCTAGCATAACTTTTGTTCTAGTCTTCCAAGCAATACTAGATGCTTCGACAAGCTAAGAAAAGTTCAAACATGCTCAGAGGAGTATTGGATTGTTTAGTTGCCTCAACAATCTACCATCTAGCGGAACTTAATGTACCGTGCCACATTAGGAGCTGATAGGCAGCAAAGATTGTCAATAGCAGCAACTGGCAAATCAAACATGGTCACAGATCTACATGTGGGCTATACTTCCAAAAATGCTTGATAAGGATTTTAATAAATAAACTATGTAAGATGAGGTGCGCTGTTGAAGGATGGCAGGAAGAGGAATGATGAGCTGTCATAGGGAAGAACAAGTGGTGGGTCGGTGGAACGAGAGAAGGGATATGAGGATGTCATTTTGGGCAGCCTCATCACATGTGAAATAAATGCTTGACCCCTACATGGGTCAACTCAGCAGTCAAGATTAGAATTTCCATCGTGAATGGTTCAACTGATCAGATTAGAATTGTCACCCGTACAGCAACTTCAACCTACGCATACAAGCCTACACAGTGAGTTCTGTAAACCCTAGGCATGCAGACTTTACCTGTATTTGCAGTGTATCAACAAGCTGATAAAGGGCAACACAGTAATGTTTATCTAATTTCACCAGAGCTACATTTAGGATGCATTAAAGCTGTTAATTATTCGTTCCACGCATATAATTCATTGTGATTTTGATGCATCTGACATGTAAGTAGATTACCAAACTTACAATGCTATGACAGGGACAAACTACATAATTTTAATATAAAACCATCAACTTTATACAGAATCCAAAACTCACCTCAGCTTCATTGTCAAGATTAAGCTTCCTGACAAGGTACTTCTGGATGAAAGAAACAGGTACGTTGCCATCTCTAAGATAAGAGAAAAAGAAAAGCAATAAAATGTCAGTAAGTTAGATGAATGGCAAGAGATAGTGATGAAGCATATTTAGCAAGATAACTGTTTTATGAGTCGTCACATGATGTTTATCCTAAAGCAATAGAAGGAACACTTCAAAGGTCAAAGAATGTATTCAATTGTGTTGTCTGCAGATCTTCATGGTCAGATCCAGATGTCGTACCAGAAATATCTCAAACTGGAAGAAATTTATTGGTTCGTATCTATACAGTGCAGATGTACTTAATAACTAAACAATTTATACTTAGCATCCTCCATATCTATCAGTCATAGGCAAGCTTCCTGACCGTACACTTTTATCAACTTAAAATTTCTTGTTGGAGACATTCTGTTGGTTCATAGGCAGCAGAGTTACAATTAAAAAGTAGGTTCTTTTGAAGATAATGCAAGAATTACTCATGGCATTTGCATGATTCCAAGGAAATTGAACTTACTTAATCCTCAAATAACTATTTGGTATTTGGGGCAACGGTGGATCTCCTTCCCTGCAAAAGTCTTATGAAATATGAATAAAAAAGCTCATCAAAGAGCAAGTGTCAAAGGAGTAACAACCGCACTAATTTCCAGAAGAGAAACATCCATAACTGGTCGAAGGAGGCAAGTAACTGAAACCATATCGGGCAAATCCTCCTATCACATTGTGCACTTGCTGCATCAAATAGTGCATGAGCCGAGGTTGATAGGTCCTTCCGTTTTCGGTTGACTCCTTGCAACCTCCTAGCTTTTGCTGTTACTGAAGGTGTTTAAATACTGTTGTTCTTCTCATCCTGAACCTTGGACTTGTGCAGATGTTCCTTATTCCTGGTTTTGTTGATAGTTGTTTCAACATCAGGGTTATTGATATGTTCTGACTTAATAACAGCACTCTGTGGACTGGACTTAAAGGACTTTGTACTGTTTGCCGCTTCAACTAGACAATTTAATGGTTTCCAAAGCTCTGTCTTATCCTGATAGGATTCCCCACCACAATCTGTAACTTTAATTGCAGCATTGCTGGATGACTCAGCATTTGAAGCACTCTGAGAAAGTTTACCAAAGTTGAAAATTATTATAGTCATGCTAGCATATTCAAAGGAAAACATAATAAAGATTAAAGAGCATATGAAATTTAAAATGTTCTTTTAACATACCAAGAGATGGCAAACAGAAGAAAAAAAAACTTTTACCTGCCTCCTACTGACAGCTGACTTGCTTGGGTTCCCTGAATTTTCAGTAAGCCTGTCAACATATTCATCCTCCCTCTTAACTGAATCATGAGTGCCAGGACTTTGTCCACGTAATATGGCAGCCCTTCTAGCAACAGCTCTTGTTTGCCTTCCTGTCAAACCTGTCTGTGTTGCTAATCGAGGAGTATTGACCACCAATGAAGAAAGGGACCTTTCTTTTCTTCTAACAGGCAAAGAAAGGAGTGGAAAATTTTCAGGAGCCTCAACCTTTCTTCTTTTGAAGGGAAATATTTTTGCCCTTAAATCTTGCAAATTGTGATCAGGTCTGCAAGTAATCCAACATTAAAACCGCTTGAACAGAAACATATACTGGCATGTGCTCAGATTTATCAAACCAATATGTGTTCTCCTTTAGTAAGCCAAAGTTTGTGGTGCAAGTGGAACCAGAAGTATGCCATTTGACATTAATGTTTATGATCATCAGAGAAAATTTCTATTTAGACGTTATCTGGAGGAAAACAAACAAATTGTCTTTAACAAGGAATCCTATGAGAAGAACAATGAAAACTCCAAGTTTAGAACTTAACAATCTGAAAATTCACATATTGATGATCTCAGAGCAACCAAAGCATTAGGAAGAATGGTGCTTTCCAAAAGCAGAAACACTTCTGGAGCAAATGACGATTCAGTGGTCAGAAAAACATACAACTCAGTAGATAATGAAAACCATGGTTTTTGTAATTACATGTTGAATAACACTGAGTCAACTTTTCAGAAATCGACAAGTTTTTAGTCATCACAGCCATTTGTAAATAATAATAAAAAAATCGTGGTCTGAGCACAAAGTTCCTTTAAGTTACAGTGTCAAGTGATATCAGATGCTGTAAGCCCTATTTAGACTTATTTTATTGTTGGCTTCAAATATATTGTCATCAATTTTAATGAACGTTAGCAACAAAGGTCTGGGTACTCAGATTCTCAGGTCATTGAATACTTTAGCCTGATTATATAACTATAGCAACAAGGATACCACTCAATTATATGTGAAGGTTACTTAAAGATATACTGTGTGGTGATGACTTCAACAAATAACATTTCTTTCAATAAGGTAAGCAGCTTTTCCCACCTTCTTAACTATAAACCATTAGAAAGGTATGTTTCCTTTTAACTCCACAAGCCATTTAAAACCTCCTTTATTGTTATCCAAAGGTTGCAGCCATCAGCATCATGTATTTAAGACTTTAAGTAATAGGTTGCAGAAACTCTGTAACCATATTAACTTTAATCTGGTAGGGAACAAACACATCGATGGCTCTCACACAGTTAGATGGCAAAAACATGGAACTATAAATCAGGAATTTCCACAGATCTACTCCATGTAAGCAACTTCTTACAAATTCAGATTCTCGGTTATCAGATTATGTCAATCAAAGTCCTCATAATCTATTGCCACCTTATTTTTTAGATTACTACTTTATTCAGCTAACCATTAATAAAAAAGTGCTTCACTTCAAACATTTTGGCATATTGTGATAGAATAAGGATATACTTGATACTTTGGCCACTTGTAAACAAACATTTTTCGTATGTTACCTAGTGGTAGATGTGCCTGGTTTAGACAAGTGGATCCTATGAAAATTATCCAGATGTCACTATTTTCTAGAAACAGGAAAAACATGGATAGAACTAATACTCTTTGCTTGGTCATCATGCAAAACTAAAAATGATAAAAAAGAGTAATAATATGTGAGTTAGGTGTTGTCCATGAAGCATTTAGAGATATGGGATATATATTAAACAATATGATTAGCCAATCCATCATACCTCGAAAGAAAGAGAAAAAAGATATAATATGGTACTGATGTGGCAATAAGCATCACTCTTTTAAATTTTTTATAGTTACATATTGCTTAAAGAATTTAGAGAATCCCTAACCTATTCATCATAAAATTAGTCTTAGCGATAATGTATCCTAAGGAATATGGAAGATAAATAATAAATCATGATAAGTGAAGTAAGATAGAATCATTGTTTTGACTTCATTAAATGACGCGTAATACAAGTGGCATAAAATCATGATATGCCATCTCGTTTCTAATCGATAGATTAACATCCAATAAAAACAAAGGCCTCCAAAGAAGTACCCCTAATTATTTGTAAAGTATCCAGTTCTTTTGATAACTATCTGAAAAGTACTTTGAAAAGCTATACCACACATGATGAAGAAATATACAAGTAATGATATCCCAAAGGTGACTAATACAGATATGTCAACCAATATGAAGTATCCCAAAGGTGAATCCATGTCTTTTCACAAAGATAGGATCTCATAGTGACATTTGACTTGCAAGAACTTAGAAGAAAATGCATGCATATGTTTTGTTCAAAATCTTAATCCTGCTTACTGAATATAAGAACTGTTCTATCCTATTGGTATTTCCCATTGCAATAAGATTACAACACTTTTAGTCTGTTAGCCCCTGATCTTCCTTCCTCGTTTTTTATTATCCTGTCCACCTATTCCATAAGTCAAACAACACATGTTTATCAATCCCAACACCATTGTCACCCTTTTCCACATTCAACCTTACACCAATTTAGAAAAATAAAGCAAATGCTTGCAGCCTAAATAAGTGATTGCACCTGTGGTTCACAATTATGCTATGCAGATTCTAAAATTTCAGAATTTACAATAGCAAATCTTCTGAAGCAAAAACAGTATCATAAATTATTCACCTGAGGAACTAAAATACGTAACACAACAGAAAAAATGGCATTAACACCACCGAGAAAGAAAATTACCTGAGCTTTTCTACAGGAACACAGCCCAGATCAATGTTACATATAGGGCAGCAATCTATCTCTTCATCTGTAAGTTTCTCACATATACACTTCCTGCAAACTATTTGAAGATACAAGGACACAGGGTTATATTTTCTTACAAAAGATTCAGAGTATATTCTGAATATGATGATATTTCAATACTTAGACAATATGAATGACCACTGATTTATGACATTCAAATTGCAAAGAAGGAGCAACACGCAGCAACCTACCAGAGTAGAAAATTCAATGCAGCATTTGAAGAAGAAAACACAAAATTATAATACTATGTAAAGGAATTAAGTATAAAAAGTATCACGGACAGAGGAACAAAAAGCCACTGACTGACATAGAAAGATAGTACATATAAATTGACATCTCAAATAGTGATCCATATAAGTTGTGAGAACAGACCTAAACCAGAGAGAAACTATGAAATCCGAGGCTTTTTATCTATATGCTGTCTAATAAAATGTCAAGAAAGGCAGCAAAGGCACGTAAAATGCCCAGGTATCATAAATGGACTCTGAAGGCTCGGATGAAGCACTACATGAAACTGTGTGCCTCATCAAAAGGATCAGACTTCTCATACTTTATCATAGTTGCCAGGAGTAACTTCAACATAATAAAAGCCTATAGGTGACATCAACCATCAAGTCAATGGAAAGGAACCCAAGACCAGAATGGAATGATGATTTAAGCCGAGATATGACTTCAATGCCAACAGTAGGATATTTCAAAGCCTTGTAGAGATCAACAATATCTACTTTCGTCTCATGTACGGGGACACGTTCAAGCTAGCAACTAAGACGCCTTCATTATCAAGAAGAGTTCGTGCACTAGTACTAAGATGCCCTTGGCGCAGACATTTGTAGTCATGTCCCTAACTCGATTAATCCATTCGAGTAGCTAAGGTTCTACGAAGTTCTTTGATTCGAGGAACGCCTCATTGAAAACAACGAGAAAAATGAATAAAGTTGTTGACCTCCTCCTTTCTCAACATGTAAGCAGGGCAGAGAGCAGGGAACGCGGAGAAGAAAACAATCAGCGTCACACGCCACCATAGTGGCTCGAACGAAAGAGGAAAGAACCATTAACCCCCAGAATAAACGATAGCTTTCTGCCCTATCCAGAGACTGCACGATGTTCCGATCTAGTAACATCAAGGACAACGATGGAGAGCCGCATCGAAAGATCGAATTTCTACAAAAGCCCGCATCATAAAACCGAAGAATCACGTAAACCAAGATGCAACACGCCCACGTCGAAACCACAAATACAACCGCGGAGCAACACCTCGAAACCAGGAAACTCGTCAGATTGGAGGCGGCGAACGCAAGACAGGCCCGGACAGGGGGCGAGTGGGGGGGAGGAGGAGGACGCACACGTGTGGAGACACTCGGAGATGGTGGTGGCGTCCCGGAGAAGCTTGTGGCAGAGTGGGCACGTCATGCACGCGGCCAGCAGCTCCCGCTTCACCGTCACCATCTGGGGCGGCCCGCCCGCCACCGCCGCCGCCATCCCTGGCGCCGACGACTCTCTCCCGTCCGTCACGAGGCCACCGAGCCCCTCACTTTCATGCGTGGTCGCCGCGCCGCGGCCCGTCGTCGGGTACCGCTCCCTACGGATCAAGTCGCCGCATTGATCCGCGAATCACGCGGCGGCGGGGCAAGCGGCCGGGATCCGAGCACAGGGAGCAACCAAGATTGAATTTTTACGGCAGAAATGGCCGAAGCCGGCGTAAAGGAGAGGGTTTCGACAGCGGATTCGAAGGAGAAGGGTGAGGGATCGAAGGACGACGACGACGCGAGAGAGAGAGAGAGAGAGAGAGAGAGGCCAAAGAAGGAAAAAGAAAATAAAATATATGTATTATTCGTGTCTTCTAAGGATTACTCCGCAATCACTACAAAGGGAACGACGCTACTGTGCGGCGGATCCGTTCCGGTTCAACTTTGACCCGCCCGGTTCAATCCAACGAGATCGTGACATCTCATCCGTCCGATACTAATCGGACGGACCCACAGTTCCGAGTGGTCTCGGGTCGGATCGGAGCGGTTAGGTATAAGCGAACCGGTGCGGTCTTTAGCCACCGTAACAAACAAGAAGAAAGAACAGGATTTAGTTGGACTTGCACTGCCAATAGAGTGAATACGCGTGGCCTTCCTAGCCACATAGGATTTCTATGGTGGAATCAAAGTGTTAGAGCCAATGATTGCATCTTAATCGAGAAAAGAGAAGTCAAATCATTAATGTCACCATGCCAATGTTTATCGTCACAATTTGTTTTCCTTTTCTTCCCCGATTGATTGATTGATTTGTTGTTGCGATGTGGGATGACCCAAAAGTGGATTCGATTGAGAAGCAAGTTTCGATGGACTAAATATCATGAATATTATTAGCTCCGGAGATGAGTACTTCATCTCCTTAGGTAGTTCTTATCTCGTATAGTATCGATGATCAAAATTAATTATTTTAATTGTTTAATACTAAAACACAGATAAAACAGTAGATAGAGATTTCAAGATATGATCAAAATTAGACACATCTATGATCTAGCACGGTCGCTCGGAACTCAATTATCATCTCTAACCTTGATGGAAGGTTGGGCTCTCATTGGTCTAGTTGGGCTTCGACATAGATTTAGCTCAACCCAAGCTACTCTAGTAAGTTGAACATATGATTCTAAGAGGTCATTATTGCATTGGTTTAGATGAAATTTCAAGAACACTTTCACACTCAATTCCACCCAAGTGAAAGTTGTCCAATACATGAATGCCATTTTTCCCAAATGTATGTAATTTGTGCAACATATGAAGACCAAATTTGGTAAAACAATCTACTGTATGAAGTATTTTTCTGAGACTGAGGCTATCTCAAGTTAAAACATATGTTATAGCAATTAATATGGAAGCTATTTGAGGTTAATGCTAAGTAAACAATCTGTGATGAACTTACAATGGAAGTAGTTAATAATCTTAGCAAGTTGGGAATGATTAGTTTCATGTCAATAATAAATTATAGTGTTCATCATGCAACTCCACCCATACAGTTCAATCATGGTTGGGGCAGCCCCTTCTTGGAAGAACAGGGTGACACAAATAGTTGCTTGTGTGGTCCATTATATGTTCTTGAAAGAAGAGGCAAAGAATCATTTGTTAGGGGCTTTGAGTTGGCATTTGAGCTGTGCAGAAAGTTGACTGACTTAATCCATGGGGACAATGCAATGAATGCTAATATGTTTGTCAGATCATCCTTCAATGTGTCATTTAAAATACTTGGATTGCTTCCAGAAAACTTCATTGCAGCAAAGGCCATAATACCTTTTATCACCTTAATCATGGACTAAAGTATAGTAATCTATCCAGAAAACAATATTTAGACAGATGCCTCATCATTAAGCACATGGCTTCACTTCCTAATCCAATTTGAAAGAGAATCTCATTTATTCGTTCCATACTTTGATTCAATGAACAAACCAAACACTGCACAAAGTAGTATTATGTGGTACAGTTCATTGAGCACACCAGGAGACAGCAATCTTGCAGTGATATTGCTGTCTCTCCATACACAAAAAAGAAAAGAAAAGAAAAGAAATGTACAAACAAACATATATTAGCGTTTATGATATCACAATATACATGCAGATGACCAGAGACAGAGAGAGAGAGAGAGATATGTTGTATTCAGCACTTGTTCTTGCACTTCTCCATGGCTCTTGGTGCTGCAAAATTAGGAGAGAAGTATATAGACTCTGTTCAGATGCTGAAACAAGGCATTAACTTGCACTAGGAAATGAGAGAAAGCATATCCCTTCTTTTGTTGATAGATACTGACCAAGTCCAATGGCTTCTGATCCCTTCATTATGCTCAAACGCTTGCATGAAGCTACAAACATCCTGGATTGTTTTGCAATGGATTTGGTGATGCAAGTTTTGATCAAACAGATTCCGAAGAAATGAATACATAATATGGATTAAAACTAAGAAACTTACTCCCATGGAACATCCCCTACAAGCATCCAGTCACCATCCTTGTCTTCATATGTTGGCACATACTCAGATCCATGCAGAAGATCCTTCACCTTCCTCTCATTCATGAAGTCTCTTCCGCTCATTCCCTGAGAGCCATAATCTCCTGATATTTGAACAAAGGATATCAGTTTTCTCTCTCACGATCATAGCATAAAACTATTTTGAGATGATCAGCATTAAATGATCTGCTCTGCAGTTGATGTTCTTGGCAAAATGGAGGTGTTGCACAGTGATACACAGACTGAGCTGTAGGTTCAAGCATACAAAGTATTCAATCATCAAGCAGGCCATTCACAAGGCATGTCTACATCCATGCATGCAGATGAAGTGTATACCCTGCAGTTGTGGCTCACCAGTAGTGAAGGAGTCGAACATCTTCTGCAGCGCCACGAACAGCTCCTGGTAGCTTCGGTGCGTCTTCAGGTCCACCTTGCGCAGGTACGGGGCACCATCCATGCTCACCTTCACAAGAGCAGCTAAGCTGCTCGACTTCTCACCCTCCTCCTTCCTTCCCTTCTCAGAGTGGACAGAGAGGATGTTCTTCCTGAACGATCGGACCGGTGGCCACCCCACAACCTGTGCCCTGATATCGACACGAACGATTATGCTGATGATGATAGAAATCAGCTATATCAGAGTTAAGAGATCAGAACAGTGGCAGATGTGATAGGAAAGAGCTAAGAATTGAAGGAACTTGTTGATGATATATTGTTTTTGGTCAATTGCAGTAAAGATTCACCAAATACACACTCACCTATCTTCCATTGCATTTCCTCCATATGTTGGATGGAGTAACAACAACATTCCTCTGTTCTTTCACTGTGTTTTCTTGTAAGAAAATTAAGATGATATTTACGTGTATAAGGAAATATTGTTCTATGTGGATCTGTGTGAAAGGTGAAAGAAACTATTTCTCTTTACTTACATCATAAATAAAACTGCTGAATGATGAATACTCCAAAAGCATCAATAGTAACTTATAGATGCCAAAAAATTCTTATTTGCCGACAAGAAACAACAGCCACATACTATGCACCACTATTATGTATGTGCTTGTTTGAATGAACAGGGAGATCCAAAAAAAAGACAAACAGAGATCAAGGGATGAAGGAAAATTCTTATAATTGAGTGGAATGGAAGAACATCTACTCAAATTTTGTCAATGTTGCATCCACTAAAGCAAATTTCAGATAGTTTTTTCCTCCAATTTCTAAGATAAAGACATGCAAAATGAAAAGGGGTCTGAGAGACATATATACTTGGGAGGGGATGGCTTCTCAGGGTCACTGCCACAGGAAACGATGCTGTCGTCGTTCGGCGATCGCTTCACTTTCTCTGCGGCCTCCGCCGCCGCTTCCTGCACGCCGACCGGGGTCTGAAGCTGGAGCTTGAGATCCACGATCTCCACAAACCCCCTCTTGCCGGAGTTCTTGCCGCTCTCGACTTCCCCTCCTCCTCCTCCTCCTCCGCCTCCTCCGCCTGGCAAGCCCAGGCGCAGCTCGGTCTCCTCCATCCTCAAGCCGCTCGACATGCTCCGACACACTCTTTCTCACGCCTCAATATCTTCTTCTTCTTCTTCTTCCTCCACCTTGCTTCGACAAGGTTTTACCACTAGGGAAACCAATATATACCGAGAGAGAGAGAGAGAAGAGAGAGAGAGCATTTGATTTGAGTGAGCAGACATAACATGGTCGTACGTCCGACCCAACCGAGACAATGACACGTATTCATCTCTGTCGGATCTTTGCCTGGATTCCAAAAGCCAAATACACCGCATATCCATACCTCGTTTTCTCACCTCGGCTTCCTTCCTCGGGTGTTGACCCCAACACTAACTCAATCAACAAGAAGGTAGATTGGTGAGCCTGTCACGAACGGGCGAAAAAGGATTCTTAAAAGGTCTCTCGTCGACATGCTCGCTTAGCTGGACCAGAGGCCCAACACCGAATCCCCATTGGCATCGGACGGCCCGAGCCTGGCCGCCATCAAACGGACGGCTGAGATGGTGCTAGCGACGCTGTGGGGCCTACTGGGACCCTGGTGCGGTGGATCAGTTTGCGCGGCTTGTGGCGTGGCGTTGCGTCGAACCCGCTCCAACGTGAACCGTGTCTTCACCAAGACAGATCATAGGACTAAACACATCAATTAGGCCTCTTCCGATGTTATATATATATATATATATATATATATATATATATATATATATATATATATATATATATATATATATATATATCGGATACATTGCTTATTGCTTTGCCAAGAATGGAATCATGGATACATACATTGCATGAGAGTGGTTTGGTTGTGGACGATGTCATAAGAGTGCCGTTCTATATTGGCCAATGAATTGATAGATCTACAGGGGAAGAGATTAATTAGATGGCATTGATAACTACAGATCCATGAAGATGATAATGGAGCTTTCCAAGAACTTGTTTCTCTCTCTAAATTGTTTTAGGAGACACCCAAAAGATGATTAGAGCCACACTTGGAGCTTCTTCCAAGTCATGCATACCTCCAGTGTCGGAACACTTCCACCGCACAGACCTTGCAGTTGCCTTCTCTTTCTCGTCATGTCCATTTCCAAATCAATGTGCCGTGCTCCGGTTTTCTCCTTGCCAAACACACCAACCATGCATTCAAACCACTGCCTCAGCTTTGCCTAATCACAGTTCATTATCCAAGATTTGCTACTTCTTCTTCCTCTTCCACTAGCATTCAGTTCAACCTGTGGGGGTAGAAACTCTCATACCAAGAGAATAATCTTTTAAATAATAATAATAGAGTAAAAATCTGAATATATTAGGTAAAGAAAAACTCAAATTTTGATCCAAGAAGACTAACTCGAGGAGAAGAGTCGAGTACCGATGCTCCCATCGATACGATTCGTCCTCGAACTGCATCGAGTTGGACGTGTCGCTTAGTCCACATGCTTGGGTCACGGTAATCCACGGCAAGAGCATGTGCAGCGGTGGATCGGAGGTGACGAACAGGTGAAACTTGTGAGTACACGTAGTGGACATTACAGCCGAGGAAGATGCTGGCTCTTATTTACTCCAAGTGATTGGTTGCTGAGTGAGAGAAGCAATAGAAATTGATGCAGCGTGTGCGTGTTCTTTCTCATTGAGTTGGGACAGCAATAAAGAAGAGAGAAGAACGACTTTTATGATGTTTCATCTATAACTGGGTTGAGGCTTGCTTGTGTTCTTCTACTACTGCTGGCGTCATTCTTCCATGCAGAGTTACTCACCATGGACAGACAACTGAGCAAGAAGCAAGTCTTTGCATGGAATTAATGGGCAAACAAGTCATGGCCCTCGAGGTGGGCTGCTCTTCCACTCCAAACGAAGGTAGGGACCCTGGTCACAGGAAGCTCCAAAGAAAGAACACATGCACGTGTATGTTGACATGATGTTACATGTCCCTCCTCATGCCTACACAGCAATTCTTGCTCCACTTGTCTCGATCTGCTCATCAATGGCTACTTCTCGTGGCAGGCGTTGGTTACACGTTGCTCTCCTCCTCAACATGCAAGCTTATCACTTTATTTTGTTGGCTTGAAAACCACAAGATATCGACTAGTTGATGGTGGTGATTTAATTTGTGGAGAGCTTGGTTGGCTTACGAGATAGAGATGAAACCTTCCCTGCCAGTACCGTCGACAGGCGTTCGTGTTTCCCGTCCCTATCTCCAGTTCATCAGCAAGCAATCAGTGCGGTTCTGGAGAGGAACCTGAGCTCAAATGACCGAGAGCTGGTCCGTCGGTGTTCTTCCCTGATCTCGTCCCAGGATGAGGAAGACTGGATGAGAAAGCGAGAGGCATTTAACTGCAGTTATGGCCTAAAGATATGTGACAGAACAAGTCTTGAACGAGACGGAGAATGGGCATCTCCACTGCACACTAAGAAAACGGGCGTCGGCTTCAATGTCTCTCTTCCAAATGAGCTGGAATCGGCAGCTTGCAATTGTTTTAAGCTGGATTCATTGTCTGTTGGATATATCACATATCCATGCAACAATATTAGGTATATATATATATATATATATACATATATACACACACAGAGAGAGAGAGAGAGAGAGAGAGAGAGAGCAGCAAGAAAATATGATCCGTTTACTTGCTGCTTAATGGTGGATCAGGAAAGAAATCAAACAAATTAATTGAACAGTGATTACGAGAATCTTATACATGCATAGACTGAGAGAGACAGGCGGCAAGTGTTGGAGGAATCAGCAGTGAAGGAAGCTCAAGTTAGTGCTCAGACTGCACATCATTTTGGAGGCACATGAGAGACATAATAATCTCATACAGATTCAGCAACTGTGGCAGAATCCTCGCACATCATTGACATGAATCAAGAGTCCTCTTTATTAATCAGCTACTTTGTGTCATCAAGGAAGAAGGAAGTAAAGCAATCAGAGAGCTGATGAACTTGTTGACCTTCCAACACAGACAAGATCTCGAAGCCATTTCGAGTCTCCCCCATGCTCATCTGAGCCAAGCAGCACATGTGCTCGCAGTCCCCAACTCCAACGGCGACGGTCGTTGGTCGGCCAACTGACCGCCGGGGAAAGGATGTCAGCTGCCCGACCCGGGCGGAGCGGCCGCGGCGGCGGCCTGGTGGCTTGCCGGGCCTTCTCCGGATCCGACAGGCGTGTGGCCCTCATGGATGCTGTGCTGCACATTCAGACGACCAGCCTAGTTGTCCATTACAAGGTCAACCTTCTCTCTCTCTCTCTCTCTCTCTCTCTCTCTCTCTCTCCTGCAAGATATATATATATATATATATATATATATATATATATATATATATATATATATATATATAAAACTATTTTTAAATCTACTATAATCTTCATTTAACACTTAATACATTGATAACAGTCAGTCCCATGCAATAAGGAAAAGTCTGGCGACACGCTTCCTTCACCTTCCCATCATACTTACTATAAAGCAACCCTCGCCCACCTCCATGCCAAACACAAGAGCTAAGTCTTTCTCTTCTTATCACCTTCCCTCGCCCGGAACCCCTCGACCACCTTCCTCAACCACATCCCTCGACTGCACAAGCTCTTCCTCGATCCATCACCTGTGTTGTTGGAGGCCACCACTTGTACTTACCTGAGGAGGAGGAAGAAGAAGAAGAAGAAGATGGACGGTGGAGCGGACTACATGGACACAGATAGCCTCAAGGCGACAGAGCTGACGCTCGGGCTGCCCGGCGGCAGGCCACAGGTGGTTGGCTGGCCGCCGATCCGGTCGTACAGGAAGAACACCTTAAAGGCGACGAAGGCGGCGGCCGAGGCGGGCGGGCTCTTCGTGAAGGTCAGCATGGACGGAGCTCCTTACTTGAGGAAGATCGATCTCGCGGCCTACAAGGGGTATGAGGAGCTGAGAAAAGCGTTGGAGGACATGTTCAAGTGCTTCGAAGGTGGCAAAGGATCCGAGTACGCCATCACCTATGAAGACAAGGATGGAGACCTGATGCTGGTTGGAGACGTTCCATGGGGGTAAGAACATTGATGTCAAGATCTATGAGTGTTTTAATACTGTTATTTGTGCATTTCCCCCCCCCCAATATTTACACATTTTATGGTGCTTGTAGGATGTTCACATCATATTGCAAAAAGCTGAGGATAATAACCAAGAGGATCTGAAGACAATCTTGGGTTTCTTAAGCACGAGGAGGGAATCTTGTAATCTACATAGGGTTATGCTTCCATGTTGCCTTGCAAATGTACAAAAGATACTCACAAGTTATGTTGTGGTCAGCATAGGATTATGATTCCATGTTCATCTTACCTTCAAATGTTCCAAAACATCAAAAGTTGGAGGACACTGAAAATGAGAGAAGTCTTGTTCTTGATAGTTTACAGGGAGAGGAAGATGGCTGACAAGATCCAAGAACAGACATCATCTTCCAGGGGTGGAAGAAAGAAACAGCAGTACAAGTCCCCACACCTCACATGTCAGGAACAAGCATGAGGGGATTGAATTCCATCACCTTATCAGCAACCAACAGGACACTTGTATCCTTGGATAGGGAAATCTCAGTGCCAGATGAACAGACAATTTTACATGGTGGGTCAGCACCACCAATCAGTGCACATCTTAATTATTGAGTGAAATGATTTTGATTGATTTGTGGGTCAACAATACAGCTGAGATGATCTAAGAACAGATTTTAATTATAATATATTAATCATTTCATTTGATGAGTACAAAATACATAAATTTCTACATCAGACAATATAATAGAGTACAGAAACAATTCTAAGTACATTCAAAAGAGATTAAATTGATGAGAGATGCGACAACTGATTCAACCATTCAAATATTAACCTTGAACAGTAATACCAGATTAAAAATTAATTTCAAGTTAAGCTCATATAAAAGGCAGTTCAAAGAGGCTAACATGCAATTAATGACATGAGTACACTGAAGAACCACTGTTGGAACATAGCATTCATAAAGATTGAACTCTCCAGTGATCAAGACCTATGGAAAATGAAATATAATCATTCTGTGATTCATATAACATAAGTCAAGGACTTCTAGCTTTGGTTCTGTTCTCATCAAGCTCAAGTCCAAGAAATCTTAGAAGATGGGTGACCTTTTCTCCATAATCATCAACATTTTCCAAGCCAAGAAATAGAAGTGATACATATATGCTAGTGTTAAAACGAGTCATAGGAGTGAGAAATTTAAGTAAATCACCAAAAGAATCCCTGTCAGTTGATCAGAAAATAGATCCATTCAGTACCTGATAGAAACCTTTTGCCATTTAGTACCTTATAGCAACCTTTGGCCAGATTCTTACTCATCCAACGAGCAAGAACAAACTTTTGTGTATATGTGTGTGTGTTTACTAAGCCTTATTCACATGAACTATCCCAGTGAAAAACAAGAACTCCACCAGTAGCAAGTCTTTTTAAATACATTTTCAGACTTTGGATAGAATCCTCATATTATCAGGTAGCAAAATGGCTGACCTTATAAAATGATGTAACTCAATTAAGTTACATATGAACCACCCAAAAAAAAGACATGAAACCACTCAAAGGATGATGTAAATTTTAGTAAAAAAAATAGACCAATTGAAACCAACCCCACAATAGATTGCCAGAAACAAAAGATAACATGACAGTGTATCAATTACGACAGACAACACATCTTTCAACCTACTCAAGAAAAACAAAAGAAAGTCGATGAATTGTGCAATTGAATCATAAAGAGTACCTCAATCATTTAGGAAACTGAAGTAAATTTTGCACTTAAACTGATCTTATAGAATAACATTAGATCATATGCTATATGCAACCATTCCTCAATGGTGAGAAACTCTTCCCAATGTTTTGGTCAACTATCATGATACTGCAATGCGTATCAAAGAAAGAGTGAATAATCAAGGACTGACTCTTATATCCACATTGAACCTCCAATTTCTTGATGATGCGCAATCCGCATGATGGGCTGGATGTTTTCCTGACAAAAGTTTTGATTATTATAGAAACCTCACTAGCTCTTCTTATTAACATAAAAGGGTGCAAATTTCTGTAAATAAGAGGCTGATACTATCATCAGAACAAAGATATTTTAAAATCTGACTCTCAGTAGCTAGACCTCATGGCTCTACATCATCAGTGTGAATAACAACCTTTTCTGTAAAGAGACCATTGTGCTTCCTTACTGTTTAAACAAATCATATGAATCTATATTATGAAAGAAGATAGCTTCATTACATCATCAGAAACCAGATTCACAAGAGTATGTCATATAGTTGGTCTTTTACTTAAAGCTATTAATCCCTCATCACATAAAGTCACACATCATGCCAGAGACAGGAGAGCAATCATTAATCAGGTTGCAGAAAACTGATTAAAGGATGTTAAACATCCCCAATGATATGCCAATCTTGGGAACTTCACATAGGCAAGTAGCAATTCAGGATCTTCTATCACACATCAGCAAATCAAGCTAGAATGGAGTGAAATCGCCATCATACATAAAAGAAACAGCAGGACTCATGCCATTAGCTTGGTGGAGAGAGCTCATTCTTGAATCCAATATAGCCAATTGTGACTTCACCCAATGTGGGTTGTTCATAGCATCAATCCATAATGCTTCACCAGTATCCTTGTGCTTAAAATCAGGGTACTTGGGGTTTCTCTGTAAAAATTGTAACTATTTTCAAGTTTGAATCATCAACTAAATACATGACACTTGAAATTGGAATGACCGAAAATACTCCAAATGCAAGAGCATATACTATTTTTTATGACAATACTACTCTATCAAGAGAGATCAAAGTTATCCTATTGCAGTCCAGTAGTAAGATCACAATCTTCTACCACAATTTTTAACATGCAATACAAGATATTGACAGTGGTTTACTTTACTATCTTCATAAATGCTTTGATCAGTGGATGAATAGGCATGCCTACAAGAAATATATACCACGCAACATGGTAATTTGTTTACTTTATGAACTAAAGTATGCACACGATATATCAGAAAAATACAAGTGCAACTTGGTCAAGAAAACTACATTCCACAAACATCATAGAGTATATGGAACAGAGGATAGTTCTGCAACCTTGTTTTTCCTATTATCCCACCAGTCCATTGGATTAGCAAAGAAGGCCTGCCAGAGCTTTTCTGTAGAACCTGAAGAGTTACCCACATAGCTCCCAAACTTAGTACCTTCATTACCAGAGAAACAAGCAGTAAGCAACTTAACAAAAAGGAGTCTTTCAACACTCAAAGTGAAGGAATTGGGTTGACAGATGAAAGCAAACGGATCTTAAAGCGACTGTCCATAGCAACTTAAGGCAACCAAGGGCACATCATGAATTCTAATTCCGGATGAAGTGCATCATTAACTATTTAGTTGTCACGTAGTATGAGTCCATTCAACGATGGATCATCCTCCAAAATTCTCTAAGGCTTGAGCAATGTTCTTGTGTGTGACGAACTCAGTCAAATTTGCGAGAAACATCCAAGAAATACTTTCGAGCACCTGAATCTACAGAACGTGTCTCTGGTTCATACAATGACACTGTAGAGTAGCTCCTTTCGATGAAATTAAGCTGTTGAACCACCACCTACCACAAGAAACAAAGATCACCAAAACTGAGCGACCATAATGAGCAGAAGCAGGACACCAGGAAGTGATCAAAATAACACCTTGTAAAAAACCTGTCGCTTCTCATCATCCCCTTCGACAACATCCGACACAAGTCGCCCAGAGACGTGCACTTGGCGACCCTTCTCCACATGCTGGAAGGCCACATGAGCGAGTTCATCCCAGAAGGTCAGATTAATCCTGCAGGACACAAAAGAAAAAGTAAAAAAAAAAAAGGCAATCCGTCGAACACCTGGACCGCGTTGTCGAAACTACACGAAAATCCAATTTTGACGAGTCGGTGACCAAAGCCAGAGTTACCATGTGGTCTCGGAGGCGGACTTCTTGACGCCAAGGCGGGTCCAAGCGAGGGCCTTCCCGCTGTTGAGGTGCTTGATCTGGACGGGCGAGCCCACGATCCCGATCAGATGGACGGAGTTGGCGAGGTCCTTGCTCCAGGGGATCTCCTGTGGCCGCTGGTGCGACACCCCCTCGTACTCGTGCTCGCTATGGCCGCTCGAGCACCGGGCCGGGAACGGAGCAGGAGGATGACGGCGGCGGACGACGGCCACAGAGATGGGCCGATTTTTCCCCTGGGGAAGCGACGACCAGAAGGCGTTAGGGTTAGGGTTCGGGGAGGGGAGGAAGGAGAGGAGGGAGGAGGGGGTCTGGAGAAGGGACGCAATGGGCAGTGCCGCCATGTCTCTCTACTTTTGGTGGTTTAGCGCGAGTGGGAGTTCCTTTGTAGCGAACGGTGAAGACCGCGGAGCGCACCGTTCACAGCTTTTCTTAACCTTTGATACCGGATAGCGCGAATCTCAAAGCAATGGATGGGCAGGTTAATTTTGCTTTTGTCCTCTCAAACCAGTGAAACATGCAGTCCCTCTCAGCCCAATGGGTGGATGCCACGTGTGAGTAGAACCGGGCCCATCGAACAGCGTTCATCCCACGTCGAAGCGCACATCATTGCTGCTCGAGGGATTTAGATGGTCCCACCTTCTCAATCAGAGAGGGCCCACCTAGTCGTGAATGTGTCTGACGAAAGCCGTATCCTGTCTTGATCGGCACAAGAACCCGTCGCATTTCGTCTCCCAAAAAACCCCAAGCAGCGGTGATGGCCGTCGCCTCTAAGATTTCCTTGTCGTTGCTCCCTTCTCGGAGCTCTTGCGGCATCTCCCTCCCTCGCCCCTCCTGTAGATCCGTCTCTTCGCCTAAATCCTTCTTGCCCATGGCGTCCCTCAACGTCGCGCGGCCCCCCGGCATCTCCGAGACCTTCTCCTGCTTGAAGGAGCAAGGGAAGGTGAGCGCCCGAGATTCTACTCCGCCTTTGATATCGTTCTTGTTCCGCAGTGTCGTATTTTTTTCTTTTTTTGATCTATTATATGTTCTAAGAGCCACATTTAGGTGGGTTGGGTTGGCTCGCATGTTGTTTCTCAGTTTGGTGAGGTATAGATTTAATCTTGGTGAACCTTGACTTGTACTCTGCTCGAAATCCGAAGATCCCTCTCTTCTTTGTTTTGTTTCTATTGAATGCTGCTGTGCAGGTCGAGTCAGCGTGACGAAATATTCTTTTCTCTCGTTTGTTGCTAAAAAAGAAAATCTTGGTAAAACTGGCTCTAAATTTTGCTTTGAACAGTTGGTTTTGGAGTAAAAAAATTCAAATTTGGATAGAATTGAAATTTCTTGCTGCTTCGTCCTTTTACTTATTTTTCCCGATTACCGTTTCTTTTTTGGCCTCTCTTTCTGTTTGTGGTACTCTATTTTTTTATTATTATTCTCCTGATTGTGAGGTGCTGACATTCATGCTCTTTATAAATACTATTGAAAGGAAAACATTTAAAACAATTGCAAATGTAAAGAAGTAATAACATTGAAAACTGTGGTTCTTGAGCCAGTTGTTTAGCTTAATTAGTGAGTTTATTTTTCCTGTTTAACCCTCCCTGGGGATGTTCTTATAGTTGAGTTCTTTTTGTATCTTAAGCAGTTAATATTTCAATAATCATTATTTATAGCTCTGTTTTACAATACATCTCTGCACTTTATAATTACATCACCAGGTGTTTTTTTGGACTAGCAGAATGTACCTTCAGTAAGCATTACACTACCTTTTATTTGTGTTCAATAATGCTTTGCAATACTTGTTATATGGTTAGGATCTGGCTTTCATATATAAATATTAGAATCTACTTTTACTTTTGTAAAGTTGTTGCTTGTAATCTCTTCCATGACCTATAGGTTGCATTTATACCCTTTATTACTGCTGGAGATCCTGATCTATCGACAACATCAAAAGCATTGAAAGTTCTTGATTCTTCTGGTTCAGACTTGATAGAATTGGGCATGCCCTATTCTGATCCTTTGGCAGATGGGCCTGTTATCCAGGTACTCTTATCAGTCTACTTCGTTTATCTGGTGGTTGGATATGGTGTGGTTAATCTTATGTATATTAGGCTGCTGCTACACGTGCTCTAGCAAAAGGAACAAACTTTAATGGAGTCATTTCAATGTTAAGGGAGGTATGACAATCATAAGCATTAGTCTTTGGTTAATTTCTATTTCTTACTTAATCGTTCATTGTCATTTGCATACATGCACAATTCTTGTGCCAACTCATGTTAGAATTCTCATTTAAAATATCTGGTAAGATATTAATTCATGAATGTACTGTACACAACATGGTCTATTATTTAAGTCAATAAAGTGAGTATTCAATAGCTTGAAAGGGAACATTTGCCATGTTTTTTACTTGAGCAGGTTTTTTGTGGGATAATAACCTTTATGTACTGCAACTCATGATTGATTCTGGTGCATCTTAGATTCCAAGGTCCTTCAACCAATTGGCTAAGAGTTAGATTGAGTTGACCAATGAACCGGTAGGACGAATAAGAAACATATCTTGTTGTTTCATTTGGTAATTTGTTTTGATTAAAGAAAGTAAAGATGTTAACGTCAGGCTGGGGGAGACTTAACCTGGACTCTACACCAGAGTAGCCATGCATTCCAATAATAGGACCACCAAAATTGATGACCACAAAATATAGAGGCTCATTTATTTGTTTTTCTTTTCTTTTGAAACCACTAAAACAAGGCGAAGGGTGAAGAAGGAAATAGGCTTGTTGGTGACCAAAAGATCCTTAACCACACGTTGTGATGTAAATGATTAGCTGACCCCAAATGGTCAGAACAATAGTGTGCTATTTATTAATAGATGACGAAAGGTTGCGAGTATCATAGGATGCTTACCATAACTCTGTCTATGCATTGCTCTGGTAGACGTCAGTGTATCATAGAATGGTGAATTTTGTAGAAAGAAGGATGAACTTTTAGATTCAGGCTTGTATAGAATTTAAACAAGACTAAAAATGTGAATCTCACTAAATTCCTTTCCTCTGTATCAGTCTCTTTTTTCTTTTTGATCCTTGGAGCATCTTAAACATGAAATACAGGCATGCATATGGTTACAATTCCAATCAACGAGTGCATTCTGAGAAATTTATAGGCTTGGTATGTGCCAAGTGCTGTATTGTCCACGTGGCAACATGTTCTGACATCTCCAAAGAAAATTGAAAAGTAGTAAACAATATTGTTTTGCTTGATACCTACAAAGTGAACATGGGAATTGAATTGCCTGATGTTCCTTAGCTTTCTCTTTTGGATATGCGAGTCATGATTGCTTGGGGCAGCAATCATGATTTACATTACCATGAGCTAAGGCCAAAGAAATGGAAGAAACTAATGTATGCCTAACAATATCATTACATATGTTCCATAATTCCATTCATTTAAAATGTCTCTCTTGTGCAAACACAATGGTGGACTTTCATCTCTTTCCCATGGTTCTGATAGGTTTTAATCTGCTTTGGCAAATGAAATGGGTACCACAACACTGGAAAATGAAGTGACCAGCCACATCTTGAGAAACAAAAGATGCATGATTTCTGAACGGTACATTGTAGTTAGAATTATAGGAGTGGTTTTGCTTGCTGGTTTTGTTCTGGGGTAAATACTGGCATGGAATATGTCATACCTGTATATGATATGCTTTAGTAGGCATCAAATTCTGCCTGAGGGTCTTGGTAATGGTATGGTACATGGCGATTGTTCAACTTGAATAATGTCAGCATTCAAGCTCATGACCATCATGGGCTTGCCACTTGATTAGTTAGGCCTTGAGGCTAGGCATGAGAGTAGTGGCAGAAGCAGAACTTCTATTTGTTTGGAGATTTGATTTCCTTGACTAAGCAGTGGTGCATGAATATCATCTTGACTAACTTATTTCAGAAACAAATAAAAGAGCAAGTATTTTTTTTTGCACTAATTTTTATATTTTCCACTTCATATAAATTGGATGATAAATCTCACGTTATTTATGTTATCTTTCAGGTCATACCACAACTATCTTGTCCAATTGCTCTCTTTACATATTACAATCCAATTCTGAAGCGTGGAGTTGATAAGTTTATGTCTATTATAGAAGATGTTGGTGTGCGTGGTACTTGTTCAACCATCTGAACACTCCACCAAGTTTCATCTTTTCCTCCAAATGCAGCATAGTTTTCTCACATATATGATTCTGCAATTTCTGTTTGGTGTTTCCTTGGCTGCAAATTTTAGTTGTTTATCTATATGCTTCCTTAATCTTTGGGGCCTTTAAAATGTTCTGCAGGGCTTGTCGTGCCTGATGTTCCTTTGGAGGAGACTGAAAGTTTGACAAAAGAAGCTGCTAAGCATAAGATTGAGTTAGTATGCCCCTCCCATATCTATTTTCGCATATGGACCGATTTGTTCCAGTTTCTACGGTTCGAAGTACTTGGTGATGAATGTTATATTTGACTTCACATAATATAGGTAATAAAGGACATGATTCTACCAATAACAATCTTCTGTAGCTAATGGAAAATATTCTACTACTTAGGGAAAAAGGAAGAAAATATGGGTTTAGAACAGGAATCTGAGACAGAAAGAACCATGAAAATCAACCTTCAGATACTGCTAGATTGTTGAACACCACATCACTTTTGCACTAATGTCTCCATTACATCACAGTCTTCTTTTACTCTTAATTGCTAATCTTTCTCCATCACTATTCACTGAAAACCATCAAGTAAAATATCCAAATAATTCGTATTGGAGACAGAATAACTGTCTAGAAAGATATTTTGGAATGTTATCATTTCTGACCTTCTGAACAAGGAAAATATTTTGAGAAAGACTTTGCTTTTGCAGTTGAGTATTCTATGTTTTTTAGTTCTGATATCTGTCATATCAGAATATATGACTTGACATCTGAACTCTTCTTTCTTTTGTCTTTGCTTTCTTACCCCTTTTGGCTTCTATTACCAATCTACACCATGTCTCCTATGAATAACCTTTGGATAATTTTAATGGTGTAATAGGCAGCATTCTCAATTCTGTTGACTATAGGGTGGGCAGAGATCCTGCATTATATGGTCTTTAGAAATCAAAATGAAAAAGAATTATGCATAATATAATTGCATATAGTACATTTGTGAAGTTTTTTTTTTTTGTGACATGAAGGTAGCTTACCTATTATCTCATTATGTCAGAATTGATTATGTAATTTTATATTTTATTTAACTAGAAATCATGCTTATGTTCCGAGATCTTGTATGAATATCTCTCGCGTCCTAACCTATTTGGTTCCCCAGAGACTGTTGTGTGCTTGCGTAGTTGCACAATATTTTTTAAACACTTTTAATTTTTTTTATTGATTTAACATCCAACTGCTTGTATCAATAGATAAGGTGGGGAACATTTGGATTGTTTAAGATTTTATGATGTCTTCCTTGTTCAATTTGTACTATCTCTCTTCCCTTATTTCATCATAGGTGCTGCTTACAACACCTACTACACCAACAGAAAGAATGAAAGCAATTGTACAAGCTTCAGAAGGATTTGTGTACCTGGTAACTTGTTTCACTTTATTCAAGCTCTTCACATGATCTGCAATATCATTAAGGCACCTGGCATCAGATTATGGATAAACAAATCTAACCAACACTAATGCCACCAAAAGCTAAAACTGAAAAATATAGAACAGAGATGTACCTTTGTGATGGAGAGATTGCCTCCTAATGCTTCTTTTTTAGATGCTGCAGCTATTAGTCATCCGTAAATTTCTTTTGAGCATAATGTCTCTGTTCTATTAGTTTGTCAGTCAAGAATCCTCTTTAATTTTCTGAGTATTCAAGTGTATCCATTGATTGTCTATCAGTCCATATACAAGAAGCTTCACAGATCATCTAGCTTGATTTGATGAAAAGATCCCTACAACTGTCATTTGTTCACTTGCATGTCTAGGGAAGTTTTATTGAGAACCTAAAATCACCGATAACAATACTGGTAAGGCTTATATACTTCATTTCCTTATATAATTTTTTGGAAACTAAGATATACATTTGCCACAATCAGCCTATCATCCATTCATGTCACGACCCTCCACTGACCGGTAATAGCTTCGATAGACAATGGAATGATGCTGCTGGGGTTCTTTATTGTGGAGAACTTGGACACTCCAGCTGCTTTAACAGGATGGCCTTCAACAATGGCCATAAAGAGAACAAGGATTGTGGATGGTCAATGCTATAATGTGCTTGACCTGGAATTTGAGAGATTAGTCTTATGATTATCACTGAAGGCAATATTCTCTTCAGTTCAGTTGGATTGAGGCTGGAGAATGGCTTTTGTTTCAAGAAGGTTCAGGCAAAGGCAGAGAGGCTGCAGACATCAGAGGAGGGAGATGATTAACTAGGATGGAAATAGGGGTTCCATACAGGATCAGTTAGCCAGATAATGATGAACTGGAACAGGTGGGTTTAAAGTTAGGAATAGGAGACACATGTCATGAAGTATTGATGAGTCTTAGTCTAGGTCTGAGCTAAATGGAGGTTGAGGACTGTTGGTTTTTCTGCCAAAATACTTTGGTAAAGTATTTCTAACCATTTATTTTATAGATTTAAACTATTTTGGATGATCATTGTTCACTTGCATACTATCTAAAAGTATGTCCTCGTTTCTCGTCAACATCAGTGTTTTCTATGGAATGATTGATCTTTTGAGATGGTTGTATCTTAGTTGCCAAAATCAGTGTTTTCTATGCTACAGTTGATCTTTGAATTGTTTTTTGATCCTGGCATCTTGCCACTCACTGTTCTGGTATTTGTACATTTTGCTTTTTAAAAAAAAATAATTAAACATTATATATTTTAAGCTCCAAAAATCATTGTGCAATTTTATGTAGTTGTTTTGCCTGAATGTCATTTAATTATAGTCTTTTGAATCTTTTATGTAGGTGAGCTCTGTTGGAGTTACTGGTGCCCGTGCATCTGTCAGTTCACGTGTACAATCTCTCCTGCAAGATATTAAAGAGGTGCGCAGCCTTGCTTCTTGTCCATTACTACTGAATGCAATTAATTTCAATGATGAAAAAAGATAGTGTCCTTTCTATCATATGTATATGTCCAATTATTTTGTCTTGGAATTTGGAGATAACACACGTTTATATTATTTTCAAAGGCAAAACTTGAGTAGCAATTAGAAGTAGCAAGGTTTAAATTATATAGAAAACAGTTTCTTGGGTCATGGCACAGGCCAACTTATACTTCCAGAAAATTGATAGAATTAAAAGTATTGGTTGGTTAATTACATGGTGATTTATCATATTCAACTGTGTATCCTTTTTCAAAAACAAAGAAAGTCGATCTAAGTGATGTAGAGTCATGATTATTAAGATTGCTCGTTGCGGAGGTTTTAGCTGAGAATAAGTTGATGGTGGTATACTTTAAATAATAACCTAACATATTTGTTATAACTTGACAGTTGCTTAATCCTATAAAGCACAACTGCTTGGCATACTGACCTGCCAAATGTCTATGATTACTTGCAGGCAACAACTAAACCGGTTGCAGTTGGCTTTGGCATATCCAAACCGGAGCATGTGAAGCAGGTCAGTTGGCGGAATATGCTGTCAGCCATCCTAACCATTCGTGACTCAATTGCTCTAAGATTTACCAGTTCAGTGATCTTATAGGTTGCTGGATGGGGAGCAGATGGCGTCATCGTTGGCAGTGCTATGGTTAAGCTTTTAGGTGAGGCAAAGTCCCCTGAGGAAGGACTGAAAGAGTTAGAAGCCTTTGCTAGGTCCTTGAAGGCTGCTCTCCCTTGAGAAATAATTGCCAACGCTAGAACAAATGACATGCTTGTTCCTTTTAGTCGGATATGCACCCTTTTCTGTAGGAATTATAGCATGCAAACTTGACTTTATTGTGAAACAACTTTCTTATTGAGGGGTTAAACAGGAGTATTCATTTTGTAATATATTAACTTGTCTTTTGCTTCTTATCTCCAAACTGCGATAATAGGGAAGAATGAAATGGTGGCCGATGCTGTAAGTTAAGATCTTTAACACAATCTTACGTATGATCTGTCATGTATATATTTGTCTTTGGGCTGTGTGTTGAAAATTCTTGGCTTCTCTTTCTTGCAGGGAAACATTTTTGGTTGAAAATGTTTTACAGCCCAGAATATCCTCCCAATAACTTACCTCATCCAATACATAGGATAAGGAAGTTAATATGGGATTGTTGGCACCTATGTTTAGACTCTTATTGGCTTCCTTTTGGTACCATATTTTTCACCACTCAAGACTGGTTGTAGATTGACATGAGTTGAAACTTAACATGATTAAATTTATTGGATGTTATCCAAGTGTGTGTGATTTGTAGGATCTTATGTGAGTAGAAAAATTGGATGGTCTGTAGGTGTAATTCTAGACTACTGATAATGTCTGATCTACATGGAGGACATAAAAAGATGGATATGAAAGTTGACTTTGATGCTTTTGCTTTTGCTTTCTCTTTGGAGACTTTGGCTTCAAAGTTACAGCCGGTGTAACAATGACATGCATGAGTCCAAGGTATCTATGCTGTACTTCCATTATTTGAACTCATTTTTAGTACTCAAAAGAAAAATCTGAAATGTTTGCATACCCAGGAGAAAAACAAATCTGTCTCCATTGGAACACCAAAACCATAAGGGATTGGTGCCTGCTCTGCCTAATCTCTACAGAAATGGAGGCCACAGTGAAGTCAGTTTCCATGAAGTGTGTTATTCTGGAGAGGATGTCATTTTTCCTAGACAGGTAACCAGGTGAACTCATTCTTTGTTTCAATTGTTGCTCACTGGCTTTAGAGATAGACACATGTCTCCATCTGATGACTCTTCTTTTCTTTGCTTTTCATGAGATTTCCCAGTACCATCTTCAAAGTCTTCCATTGATGAGTCTTTAATAAAAGGGTGGTCCAGATGTTATAATGACCTCAACAGCACTGGGGAAGGCAAGCACTGCAGTGAGTTGGTATGAAGTTGCTTTCCTGAAAGCAATGCATAACGGCGGATGTACTGCTACAGTTTTCACTATTACAAGTGTAGCAATCATCCTCTTCTTTCTGGTAACCTGAAGTTTCCATGAAGCTAATGCTTGTTTGCATCAAACTAGCTGCTAATCTGTAGCAACTGTACTTCTCTCTCTGTTAACGCTGCTGTTCATCTTTGCAGAACCCAACGGGAGTCATCCAAGAGCTTCTCATGGCCCTTTTCTACTAATGAAATCATGCTCTCCTTTATCTGAAGCCAATATATGCATTACATGATAGTAGTCAAGGGAAAAGGAATAGATTTGAAGGTGACAGCACTGACACAGGTGAGAGAGGACGGCGTTAGAATATTAGAACAGTTGAAATGGTGGGAGGCGGGTAGGAAACAGTGGCAGACATCATCGACTTCTCGTGGGCGTGTCTCGCCTGTCACAGCGCCCCAATCGAGACGGCACGAGGCTTCCATTTCCACTCTCCTCTGCTCGCTGCTTTGAATTCAAAACCAAATCAAAGGGTTGGAGACCGATCGAGAGGGAGAGGAGAGTTTATTTTGTGTGTTTCCTTTGTCATGTTTCCCTTCGAGAGACCGCCGCTGGCATGGCGTTCGCCAGCCGAGAAGGCCAACGACGCCGTGTTCCACAGAATACTTCGATCTGTACAATGATGTCAGATGGCCACGATAAAGCTCGCAATGATGTTGAGCTGCGTGCTTCATCTTTCTTTCATCCCGTCTCAGATCTTGATTGCTCATCATAAAGTTTCAACTGTTACTGTGAGTTAGATGTTAAGGAAGACATATATTAAATTGCATTGGGATATTAGTACTCGGAAGAACAGAGGTGGAGTTCCTCTTCTCGGCTCCCTACGGATTCTTACAGTAGAGCAAAGAAGGCAAGATGACAGCAGACATATCTCACTCGGTGAACAAAATTAGCGGAATAAGAAGACAAAACTTGGTACTACAGGACCAAGGCAAGGCCGGTGACGACCTTAACCCCGGCCTTCGGCCTCACCGGCGGTGGCCGCCATGGCGAGACCACCACCTCCATCCTCTCCCTTGCTGCTGCGTCGGGGATGTCGTCACCTGTCCCCGCCGCATTGGTGGATTGCTCGGACACGCCAGAAAAATCGATGGCCGAGATCGAGCAGGGGATGGTGTTATTGCTACTTCCGCGGCCGCTCTGCGCCCCTCTGCTTACCGACTCTTCCGTGACTTCCGTGGCGGTCGTCCGGTGGTAGGGGGAGAGCCACTTGGCCTTCATGTACTCCGGCCGCCTCCATGGCGGCACGTGGAGGCCCTTCTTCTTCAGGCTCTGCCGCGCCGCCTCCGAGGCGAGGGCGACGATCTGCTGCAGCCGGTCGGACCGCCCTACGAACACCGACGGCAGGTGCTGGAGGACCGCGCGGTATGACTTGGTGGGCCGCGCGACCTCGAACTCCGACCTGAAGTCGACGTCCACCAGGAGGCGGTCACCTCCTTCGACGACCACGTCGATGTACTCGTGTTCCCCTGCTCGCCGAGAAAACCACATGTCAATGGTGTTCATCAAGAAAACGGTGGTGGAGGGTTAGAGATCGAGGTATAGGGCGACGATACCAGCCGGAAAGGAGGGACTTTGATCCCATCTAGATCTGCAAACGGCCACATCGTAGCCGAGGGACCGAAGCCCGTCAGCCACCATCCTTCGCCAGTCGCCCTTGTTCTTCGAGTTCTTCGCCTTCTCCAGGATCTTCGATGCGTCCGCCAAGAGATTTCTCTCCGCCATGCTCGCGCAGAGCACCAAACCCTGCTTAGACCCCGAGTGGCGTTCGAGCTCAGAGACCGAAACGCGCAAAGATGGAAAAACTTTCGAGCAAAAGATAGAGCTACCTTGATCGCCTCGGCCGCGTCCCCGGGGGCAGCGGCGGAGCCGGGAGCGTCGCCGTCGCGGGCATCGAAGTCGTCGTCGGAGCTGTCGTCGAAGTTGGCGTTGAAGCAGTTGCAGCGGCCCCGCGGCGGCTTATCGTGGTGCCCCTCCTCGGTGAAGCTGAACACCATCGTGTCCAAGAACACCGAGCTGGGCTCGACGTCGCCGCCGCCGTCGTCCCTCTCCTTTTCCCTGCAGTCCCCAGCGCCGGCGACTTTCTCCGCCGCGGGGTTCCTCAGGACGCTGGGGAACTGCCGCTCGAAGAGGCGCTTCAACCGCGACTTGGCCGCGGGCTTCCCCGGGTCGCTCCTTGGCGCGAAAGCCACCGATCCACTCGCGTCGACCGGCTGGATCTTCATCTGGAACAGCATCGCTGGCGCGACCCCAATCAGAACACCTCCTTCGCTCCTCCTCGCACCGTCACTGCCACTCCATCTCCTCCCACTACTAAACCCCAGACCAAAAATCACAACACGAAACACAAAATCGAGGCAGACATGCGCCAAATTCGAGATCAATCCAACTCTACAAACCCCCAAAAACTATTTTTTGCCCACGAAACACAAGAAAAAGGCTACGATCGAGAGAGCTCATTCAACAGTCACCAGCACCCGCCATTTCACCTCTCGTCTCCAAAAGGATCCACCGAATCGACCACAAAGGGATCATCCTTGAGATCACCAGAGACACAAGTAGAGGGTCCCCGTCTATATTCCGACAGCGATCTCCTCCGGCGAGAGAGGTCGAAGGCTTCGACGATGGGTGGAGCGAAGCAAGGCGCCGGAGGGGCTTTAAGAGTCGAGGATAAACCCTTTTTGTTTGGTCCGCTACGTGGCGTCTTCGACGAAGCAGCCTTAGATTTTGTTCCTGATGATGACGCGTGTAACCCCGTGTCCGTACTAGATTCCGCGCTACCAAATGTCTAAATTAACCCTCATCGTTGATAGTAACCATCGGACATCAGGAGGGGCACATCAGGAATCCAGAAATGTAAGGGGATAGTTTTGCTTAATGTCTAAAGTACCCCTCCGCCCTACAAACCTTTCATGTGATTATAACGGACCGACTCCGAATCGGTTATATCGGATTATGACAAACTCAAAGGGTACATTGAGATATATTTTAGTTATAACATTTTGGTAAATATATAGCAATGTTACTTACTGAGCTCATCGGGTCCGATCCAATGACGTCACATCATATATAACGGTGGCAGTGGCATTCAAGCGCATCGCATGTCGGGCTCCGCGAGTTGTAACCGTCGCGTTTACTCCGTTTACGCGAAGATCTCGTGACTGGTTTCGTGGAGGTGGGCAAATTGTTCTTCACTGCAAGCAAGTCTAATCTTTTCTCGTCTTCGATCTTGAGAAGTTTCGTGTCTTGATTTTTTAGGTTGGGGAAGTATTAGGTGGTGGCACTAAAGACATCCTTTTGGTTTTGTGTTGTGAGTTGAGGCTAAGATGGAATTCTTGGACAGGGCTCATAAATTTTGGGTTATATCATGAGTTTGTTGATTAATTCACTCCCTTTTTCTTGGCTCGTGAGGTCTCTATCAAGAAATTAAATGACATGCATGATGAATTGTTGAGATATATTTTATATAAAATCTTACTTGATGGATGATTCATAATTTAGATATTATTTTTTAATCAAGAATTGAAGTGTTTGTAGATATGGTTTTATATATTAGGTAGGTGTATGAACTGATACTGTGTTCAGATCTTGATGTTGTCAATTAAAAAAAACATAATTTAATTATTTATACTAAAACAATTGATAATGGATAGTTTAGTCAAATGATTAAAAAGGGAGCAATAATGGAGATAAGATTTTTTTTTTGCCCACATTAAATATGCAATTTCCTATCAATTGTTTTATTACAGGACTCTCTCTCTCTCTCTCTCTCATGGTTGCTTGTTCACCTGCTTGCCTTATGATTAAAGGCAGGTAGACATGAGACAGTAGGAAAAGAGTGCTGTTCTTATCATTAAACAAAAAAGTCTTCTTTGTTGGTGTATTTTGTTTAAATTCTTCTATAAGTCAAAATTGACATCCACTTACAAAAGTGAAATTAAAAAGCTGTAAATTAGTATTGATATCCCATTCCCTACAATGATTTAAATATTTTCTACTCATGAATTGGTTTTGATCTCCATAAAATTGTTAAATCACTTGTTTTTTTGGTGTGTGTTAATTAAATTGTCAGTAGGATACAAGTAATAATTAGCCAAAATCTTAATCAAAGGGCCTAATTAAATTGGAAGTAGAGAGAGAATTTTCATGTACAAACTTGCACCAATAGAAGTTGCAACTTTTATGAACTCCTGGATAAAGAGAAAGTTACAGAGAGACCCAACAAGCATAGGACAGATGAATCAAAGCCATCACACAAGAAGCCAATTGTCTTGACAAGAAGAAAGCATTCTGGAAACAAAGTTGGAAGCAGTGATCTCCTTTTTTACTGGCCAAGTTAAAAGGCAAAGTGAAAGCCTGAAAGGAAACCACATGAAGGAGAAAAACACAACCTAAAAGCAAATGCTGCCCTTGTACTCCATCTCTGAGCTCAAACATGTGCCCCAAAGTCCTCATCTTTTTGCCATGCCTGGTTTGTAAGGGAGGGTACACCCTCTAGTTCTTTTGCTTTTGAGAGACAAGATGCCTCACTTTGATTTCCCCACAAGTCATTCTCATACTAGTTCTTAATTTCCTTTCCTACACATAAAACATATATTAATCTTTCACCATGTTGAATTTAGAGTTAGTCTCACGTCAATTGAAGAGTATGAAACCAATATCTCATGAAAATAAAAAATTATCTTTACTTTTAGAATTTAAAGGGAGAAAATCTCATCGGAAGTGGATAATCGTAGAACTCATATTAACAAGAAAGAACGAGGGCTAACCAGATGATATCGATGAGAATAAATAAAGATTTATATGTGTTATCTAGTTGGCTATCTATTCAAGAACAAGTTACAATCTTTGAGATTGAAAACATTAATTCATGCACAAGCAAGTAGCTTAATGACTATTTATTTTATGACCATGACCCTGATTTGATAGTCTTTATTTATTCTAAGTTCCAATAATCCTATCAATGTCCTGCAACTTATGGTAGGTAGGCACTTGCTATGCCATACCACATAGGGTTAGGTCATATAATATCGATAAGAATAAATAATGATTTATCATGTGTTATCTAGTTGACTATCCATTGAAGAACAAGTTAAAATCCTTGAGGTTGAAAATATTAATTCATGCACAAGCAAGTAGCTTAATGACTATTCATTTTATGACCGTGATCCTGACTTGATAGCCTTTATGTGTTCTAAGTTCCAACAATCCTATTAATGTCTTGCAGCTTATGGTAGGTAGGCACTTGCTATACTATACCAGGACGGGTTAGATCAGATAATATCGTTGAGAATAAATAATGATTTATCATATATTATCTAGTTGGCTATCCATCGAAAAACAAGTTAAATTTGTTGAGATTGAAAATATTAATTCAAACAGAAGCAAATAGCTTAATTACTATTTATTTTGTGACCTTGTGACTTGATAGTCTTTATATGTTTTAAGTTCCAACAATCATATCAATGTCCTACAGTTTATGATAGATAGACACTTGCTATAAAGGGTTAGATCATGTTAAACCTTTATGTTGTATATTTTTAAGAATATTTGCTTTCATGTCTCATCTCTGGATAAAAATGTTCAAATTCATTGTCTTCATCCCATTACTGACACTGATCACAAGAACAACTGAACAACAACCATTTATTGTCTCTTTATTTCTTCTATGAGAAGTTAAGTACCAAATTTTTTATTACTAGCAGACATAGTTATAATACATCATAAAATTATTAAAAAAAGTAGGAACAATTCCTTATCCAAACATCAAAAGTTAAAAGACTTCTATTCATTTCTATTTTGCAATTCTATTGAATTCAATCCTAAGTATCTGCTACAAAAGGAACTGTGAGACCTAGATGCAGACATGGAAACTTTAATCATTATCCAGCAACATGAGCCCCATGAAGGCCCCACATGAAATTATTGTGATCCTGACCACTCATTAAGAATTTTTCAGCAACTGTGGCCCCCATAAAACACAGAGTTCAGAGGTTCCGGTCCCACAGACAAGATGAAATGATAATGGACCCATCATGAAGTGATGGCTCACAACAGGGGCACTTAACTGTTCCTGATCAGCTACTGCTCTCTCTCTCTCTCTCTCCATGAGACTCAACAATTTGCTCACATCAAATTGTTATACTCAAGGTAAAAACATGACCAGAATCTAATTTTACCTGACTCATAATCTAGATTCTACACAAGCTACAGAACATTAGAATAGGAGCATGACACATTGAGCATCACTGAGATGTCTAGCACAGATATCCTACATCAAATTTGGGGAACACATTAATGATGCAGATAGTTATCAAGATTTCTGTTAAGTAACAACTTAATTACATCAAAAAGCGCAACAAAATCCACAAATTTGGACACAGCTACAAAATTCAAGTATTATTCCCTATATTTATCACTTCTAAGATACAAGAATCATAGTGGAAGGTATTGTTATCAATGTGATAAGTTTAGTACCTGCACTCTTCTATTGCTTCGAATATGCTTAGGCCACTGTGCTTGCTGTCCATTTCACTTTCTAAATTTTCTTGAGCATCATTCTTTGTCTAAGATAGATTTAAGAAATAAGATACTTCTTTCAAACAGGAAAATAATTGCTTCCTGTTAAAGTTGAAACTTTGTTGATCCACCAAAACCCTGCTTTTGTACCAGACCTGGCCTCCTGGGAAAAGTTGCACATTTCCTACAAAATTCTGTACCAACTTTTTGGTACTCTTGTCACCTACACATCTATGACAGCACAAACCATTATTTATAGTTCTTTGTTATTCTTTTTTGTAGGTTAGAACTTCCAAAGCTGGTATTGAACCAACAACTCTCAAGTGCTGATGATGGTGGAGGCATGGTGGGATAAGAATTGAGATGAGATGTGTTTTCTGCTATTGATGTATGGATGATGTGATCTGCACTTAGCTAAATTAAAACATGTTGATCCTGGTGACAGATTTCAGCACAGATCAATAGATGCCATAACTAAGGGAAACAATTGCATTATGAAAACTACAAGATATAATGTTTGAAGGATTATACTTGTTTGCTACATGACAGATAACAATAGTCTCTGTATGTCTGATTTTGTTCAAGAGTCTGAATCTCATACATTTTCTTATCCATGCTTGACCTTTATGGATCATCTGGTTCACTAGACTAGTGTGGAGTGGTGAAGAATTGAGAGAGAAAGGGAACTTTCAGAAAAGAAAAAGGCTTTATTTGCTTTGTGATTTTCATTTGTCTCTGAAATTGCCAGGAAACTATACAGAGCATTTGAATTCTCTGGTGATAAGAATTCAATGGGCTGCCTACATTTTGCAAGAAGTCAAAGAAATATACAATTTTAAACCTTCCATTTTGTTATCTTGGGAAGCAAAAGATGAAAGACTGCATTAAGTCACTGACAACCAACCAGAAGAAACTTTGGCAAGTCTCATAAGATTCATGGATAGGGATATCACAGCATGTTATTGTTGACTTTACAGTTTGTGTTCAGTCTCGGGAGATAAAAACAAGTATTTGTGCCATCAGATACTTTGTAAATGAATTGGAGATAAGAACAAGTACATTTGCTGCAAAGTTCATAGACTGTTGAAGTCTTTTGACTAGCTGATTTACCAGAAGGATTGCTGCATACAACCACCATGATTTCTGACAATTTTAGGACAACCTCAGCAGACATCTTTGCAGCAATTATGTGGCAGAAGAAGACTGCAGCACTGCATCTGAGGCTGATGCCTCCATATGATTTCAAAGATTCACCCTAAAGTTACCTTTTATCTACATAAGGGACTGCTATAAATAGTATGATTCTTTTAACTACTTAGTTTAGCATAAACATCATCAAGTCTTCACAATCTTTTCCTTCTACTCCATTTTATTCATGATATTCAACCTTTGTTTGAAAATGTAGTTTCGTATCATACCTTAATCAGTGTACAAATACTCAACAAATAGCCATTGGTAGATTTATTCCATTATGATAGCAATAAATGAGTAATAATATTGTCAAACATAGTTCGTGGATAGAGATACTTAAAAGAAAATCTGATTGTGAATAAGAAAGCTTAAGAAATAAATGGACAACAAGAGAGACACATTTTGCATAGTACCTACTACTCATGACTATAGGATCATTAGCATCTTCCATAGTCATTCTATTGGAAATTTTAGTTTAGAGTCAAACGTGCTTACTATAGTTTTTCTTGGACACTCAGATTTTCAAAACGTGAAAAGCAAACAAAAAAAATGGAATACAACATGGACACTTGGAAAGCTAATTAAGTAACCTGTCACCTTAGGTTTTGCTAGGCACTTCCTTCCGAAATTTTTCGACCATTTGGATTCCAGAATATAAATGCAAAAAATTGTCATGGAAAAATATTTACACGAACATATCAGAATGCAGATGGATATAGAAATTCAGTAGATAGACAGCCCACTTTCAGCCCAAACAACAGCAAAAGGATTAAACATCATCTTGGGAAGAATAATTTAAAGAGTTCCTACCAAGCAAAAACATAATCGAATTGTAATGTAGACAAAACGAGAGAAAAGATACCTATATTACTGAAGTAGATATATGCGACTCTTTTAACATGCCAAGAGGGAAGTACAAGGAAGACCTGGTTCAAAATTTGAAGCAAAAATGTTGTGAACATTTCTTAGTAAAAAACTTCTAAGGCTGCAAATCATGCCATAATGTACAAAAGTACTCTATCCAAATCTCATGAAAAATTTGCACTTGATATAAAATAAGAAAAAACTCTTCCAATGTATCTTCCTTCTCGAATCATGTTTTAAACAGTAAAATAACCTGTTACTTTCTCTTTCAGTTAGAACCAGAATACCCAGCATCTGCAGCCTGGCATATCTTGAGGTCCTTCAAACCAGCGGTCCCAAGATGTGCTTGTAGATCCTGTTGTTCTGCAGAAACATAATAAGTTTAGGACACTATGCATGATCTCTTTTCAGTATGAACACAAATATGAAAGACAAGGCTTCTTTAATTACTCTGGGAGTAGGGGATCTCGCCTACTTTCTACTTGAAGCAGCAATCTGCTCAGAAATCAACTTCTCAGGTCAGTAACCATGTAAATTGAGATCTGTGTATCATGCAATTTAATTTGCATTTTCATACGTACTCGTGCAATGAAGCAGAAACTTTCTCTATTTTCTCAAGTTCTGAAATCTCTTCCTGTTAGAAAGGTTAAGGAAGCAGAACATTGTCAGCAGATGACTAATGCATACCAAAGAAGAAAGTGCACTTCTCAACTTTTCTAGAAACAATGTTAGTAACCCAGAAAACAGAGGGCAGATTTATGTCAATGGAAAGAACCAGGTGCCCTCAAAAGATGAGACAACCAGATGAAACCACATTAGAAGTTTGCTACAAATTACTGCAAGAGTTTTTCTTTGAAGGAATACAGTAGATAGTCACAAGGTATTAATATTCTTTCTGCAAAGCTTATGCCAAACCATCAAAAAATGGTCTGCCAGAGACGGTGGCATAAACTAACTGTCACAACTCTCTCTTGCATAAACACACTTACGGTTAAATTGTCTTTCACTATACAAAACAGTAAGACAGAATAAAGGGAGAAGAAATACTGAATAATATAGATATATATGAGCCATGTGTATGTGTATACACACTATGTATCTGTACAAGTTTTTCCTGCTTTTTGATTCATACTGTTCACATGATTAACAAGCTTGTCCACCTCCTAAATGAGACTCCAGTTTCATGTCCATTGTGGTTCCAAATCTTACACCAAAGACTCAACATTGACCAGCTTTTTCCTGAATTACCTTGCTCTTGGTCTGGCTCTGGAGTTGCTTGTCTAAGTTAATATGAGTTGCTTGACTAAGTTAATATTCATTTGGCTCTATTACAAAATTATTTAGGAAACCCTACTGTCCAGACATCACACAAATTTGCAGGCTGAACAATCTGTGTAAATAATTTGTAGTTAAATCCTATTCTTCTCTAATCAGGACTGTTGTACTCTATGATCACAAAACTAACCTATTAATAATCTGATTTGAACTCTTTGAATGCACCATCTGTTATCAACTAAAATATGCCTAATCTAAGTAGAACATAGATATGTAAGCACTCAAGAGTCCAGGCAGTTTTAGCAACCAGTGGGTAAACATGGTTATTTGGGGTAAAAGAATTTAATGTGAATAAACTACTTTAAAAGGATAGTATGACTTGACAATTTTAAACACCAGTAAGGCTTCCAGGCAATTATTTGGTGACAGGGAACAAAGATAGTCAAGAAAGTTTGTTATATTTATTACCACATATCCATGATTTGCTAGTTGGAGCATTATGGCTTCTTGTTGTGATTGGTGTTGTTATATGGAACAAAACTTGCCACTCAAGCATTCCTTTCATCCATCAAATGGATTTTGACTGTGGCACAAGAGCTCACCTATTAATTGATAAATGGTCATAAACAAGATCGTGGGCTAGTATGATGTATTAACTATGTATCTGTGATGTACATTCTTTGAAAATCACATATACAATAATCAGCAACTATCTCATGAACAATTAAGTAAACCTTGACCTGAAGCACTAGTAGGCTTCCTGTAAATGACCTACAGAATGGTAAATAAGACTCTTTCTCATATATAAAGATTACATCCCTACAATGATGGATAATTAAAGGTCTCATTTGATGTTAATTTTCTTCATAGTTTCTATGGCACCCCAATATATGTGGAGATTACACTTTAAGAACTCATGATTAGAGATGAACCTACTATTGTCTTCTCATTTTCTTAGGACACTCTAAAGTCTAAACATTTAATTCAGGAAATAATTTCTGATCCCTCAGCATTTGTCCTTATTTGGTTTGTAGAAAGAGCACCCAAAAAGACAACCCCAGATAGATGGCTTGTTGTTCTTTTTATTTTTCTTTCTTTCGGGGTTTACAGAGAAAAGTAAACGAAGGCTTCTGTTCCGGTATCAACTTATGGACAATTGAATTAAAATCAAAACAATAACATGACACCTTATCAAGTCTATCCTAACAAATTCTGTTGATTTTCAAGAATAATGTGTACTAGTCAATATCATATAATGATCAGCATAAAAAATGAATCACAACGATGACGCCAGTATCTCAATCTTCACCAAAAAATAATCACATGCAATTGTCTTATTTCCATGATATTTAAATTGATCTTCCGCGTAAGTGTTTGAGAGTATGTGGAAAATCGTCTGCTTTCGATAAAAAATTGCAAATAGATATTAAACTCTTTGAAGCAAACTAGCACACCAAGAACAAGTCTTTCTACTGGGCTCACGTCCAGTCATCCAATTCCACGTCCAAAGAAACTACTTTAAGCAGAAAGCGGAACGAAATCACTTAGAAACGAGGTGAAAAGAAGATTTATTTTCCTTTTCAGCTCTTTTCCGGGCTTTTCTCTTTCACCAGGGAATTAAAGACTATGAGGAGAGGGTGAGAAAGAGGGTTTTACTTCCAGGAATCGAGCTTCTTGCTCTAATCGCTTGAGCTCCGCCGAGATCCGGTGCTTCCCTTTGGCGTCCGACGGAGCAGGGGCCCCGCGGTCGGTTGCGGGGGCGGCATTCACCCCATTGGCCTGCATTCCGACCGCCGCAAAGGCGATGGCCCGTTCTCCTTTTCCTCGTAGTCGAATGGTGGGCACAGGGAAGGACCAAGGACAACAGCGGATCTCTACGGCTCCACCATGTCTCCTCCCCCGACTCCTCGCCTCTCGGGCTCCAATCTCCCCGTTGAATTAACGATCGGCACGAGCCGCTCCCGGAGATCGATGCCTGACACCAAATGGGGGATTCCACGATAAAGATCGCTCTTTTGTTTCCCTTCCTTTGGGAATAGCAGCGGTAAAGCTCTCTTTCATGTACTCGGTGACACTCTTTCGAAAGAACTCAAAGGAAAACACTTTTCAACGACCTCACGAGACCACCCTTTTACCAACCCTGCTTGTTATTGGACAAACTGTTGAATCCTATGTGGGTCCCCACTTAGCTTCCCAAGAACGAGAACGGTATGACTTTAGGTGTAGCGAAAAGTTCCTTAATTGTAATTAAAAATTAGAAAAAGGAGATGCAACAAAACAAAAGACGAAGACTGCACGACTCACATCTTTGAATCTTTTTTTTATTCGGATCGAAAGAAGATGATCAAATAGATTTTGTAGCCAAATTGTATAAGAAAAACATTTTTATTTTATGATTTTTTTTTCAACGTAAACAACCGGGAAGATTTCAAATTTCGATCATCGATCCGACCTAATAATAAAAATTATATTATATTATTTGAAATTAATATAATATTATAGATCGATATAATATTCATGTCCATCATGACTTAGCATCATAATATAATTATGATCTTACAAATAATATTTCTCTATTTGAATTTCATCATATAATTATGATCTTACAAATAATAATACTGTCAATCTCATTATCACAATCCGATCCGAGACCATACACTTATGCCTAAATCATTATAGATTTATACGAGGACTCTTTTACATATCTCTTCAATTACATTTTGTAATCTTTTGTTGAGCACCCATGCTTCCATATCTTCTAAGTTTATTTTCTAAAAATTCCTCCAAAAAATGTATTAATGTATTGTTATAGCGAATATGAATTACTTATTAGCATCATATACAACGGATATGTTATTATCTTAGTCATAAGTATCATGCACTACCTAACAATGTTCTTATATCTGATGTGGACCTATTATCGAACTAGGCTCACTTCACTGAACTAGATCGACTTTAGTCCGACGTATCTAACTAGTTTGGTTTGTCCAAAACCATCCCTTAACTTAGTTTTGCAAGGTCAAGAGCTTGACGTAATTTTCCTAAGATCCTAAAAAAAAAACCAGGTTAGATCCAAATTAGTTTTCAGCTTAGGTAACTCATAATTGATTTTAATGGTTTGGCAGGAGGGTTGATTGTTACGTCTAGTCATCTCGAAAAAAACCTTGAGGATCTAAATTCCTCACAATTTCATGCCCCAACCCTGATTACTCAAAAGAAATATGGGATTTCATAGATTTTTATGAATAAGTGTAATTACTTCGAACAAATGGTGTAACAATTTCTTAGGCTCCACTATAAAAAGGGTTATCTAATTTAAAACTATAATAGACCCGCTGGACCAAGAAACTATTATTGACTTTGAATGTTTAAGGAGCATTGTTGAGATTACCGAATTAGTTTAGCAAGATCTAGAGATTAGCTTCGAATATTTTTTTAGAGATTAATTCAAAAAAAATTAATGAGTTGATTTCCGACTCAAGCAATCTAGGATTGACTTTAATATTTTTAACTAGTGTCAATCCATACAAGATTAAATTAATGAGCACATCAAAAATAACTTCAAGAAATAAAAATCCAATGATAGTTTAGGATTATCAACAAAAAATCTGATTGAAACGATTACCAACAGTCATTATGGAACAAAGTATACATTTTGATTGATGTAAGTAAAGAAAGGTATATATTTCTAGAGTCTCACATTTCTGAAAAGGAGTAAACAAGATTGCTTCTTCCATCAAGTATAAGTCTGGCACTTGCTGTGTTTAATAACATCTACTTGCTTTATCCCTTGGAAAAGATTGAGCACATATTGAACATTGGTAGCAATACAGCATCCAAATCAGTACATTGCAACAAAATTGGGATACTCCTTTTAAGTTCATATGCAGCTGCATCATACACATAAGCTATAACCAGCCATAGCTTCCAATTTACCTACACTAAGCTTGATGAAATCTGATAGGGATGAGCTGATCTTTGATAAAAGATTCCTCTGCTTTCTTCAGCACCTCATTGCACCATATAGAATTTGTTCTGAATCCTCCCAAAATACAAACTTTGTTATTGGTGATTGTTATCCAACAAAAAGATATGTAAATATAATATATTTATGTTCAACAGAATGTCTAAATCATTTGACAATGTTAAGTAATAGTATAATTTCTTGTGACAAATGTCTGCCATTACAATGAACCATATGTCAAAGGTTATTATATGTTATGGCAGGCTAAAAGGAAAACCAATGAACATCATCAACAAAAGCATTTTTAAGAACAAATGAAGGTATGATTTTGAATCTATCAACTTATCATTATCATTAAGAATTGAAAAACAATTTAATTTAGTGAATGCTTGAACCTAAAGTATGAAGGAAGAAGTTTCTGTTGAAGCTTCCTTAAACACAAAGTATGTCATCCATAAAATCCTGGATATGGAGAAAACCAAGATCTCTCTCTCTCATGTCTTAGTTTCTGCTTCCTACTTCTGTTGAGCTGCTTGAGTCAATACACACCATTAATCTTTAAACAAATCATCAAACTCCATGGAAAGTAGAAGCTTTCTTAATCATATTTGATAAGGCAATTGCATGGCCATCCAACTTTATGAGAACAATCATAATTCAAACATGATAATACCACTTGCACTTTCTCTCTTGACTTATTCTGCTGAGAGCTATGCCAAATGCCAACCTCATCTTAGGAAACAACAGTTGCCTCTTGGCACAGGAGCTTTCATGATATGTACAAGATGGCAAAAGTAGCACAACAAACAAGAGAGGAAGTGATGGTGGTTGGAAAAGACAACAAACTAACATCAATGAGAAGCCTTGGATGTAAGAAAAAGACACTTCAAAAAACATAGAGAGGAAGAAAACAAGCCACACCAAGAAAATTAATATGTTTAGGTGAATCCCACCAACTGCCACAGTGAGAGAGAATTGCCATACATGTAGGTTAGTACTCTTATTCTTTTTCCTGTCACTTCTCTCTTTGGTTGTCCAGTTTATCCTAATAGACACCACCAAGAAGGATCAACTCTCTCTCTCTCTCTCTCTCTCTCTCTCTCTCTACTCTATTCTTTTTCCTGTCACTTCTCTCTTTGGTTGTCCAGTTTATCCTAATAGACACCACCAAGAAGGATCAACTCTCTCTCTCTCTCTCTCTCTCTCTCTATCTATCTATCTAACCTAATCATGTAATCTACAAGTTTCAAGGATAAAAGGAAAATAATTGATTGATATATGTTCTTAAGCTAAGGTATCTTAACATCAGTAACTCTCTTCGATGATACCATATATGAGCACATCCAATTGAGAATTGAAGAACGAGTTGCAACATCAAGAAAGTCCTTGTGGAAAGGTTGAAGATGGCAGCAGAAGCTAAAATCTAGAGAGCTGGAAATAAACATCAAAAGAACACTCGCAGAGTACCAGTTTATGATGCTTAACTTCATCCATGATTGTGTCATCCCTACTCTTTGTATCAACAGGTTGAAAGGATGAGGAACAGAGTTGGTTTCTGGTGCTCCCATCAGCAGATGAAACTGCAACATGATCTGATGCTTCCTCACCCAAAATCTGGATGATGAAGAGGCTTAATGTGAGCATCAGATCATGCTGGCAGCTTCAGCTTCTAATGGTGCACCTGGTGGCCAACATCCTTACATACATGCAGAGAGAGAGAGAGAGAGAGAGAGAGAGAGAGAGAGAGAGAGAGAGTGCTGGTGTAGTTGTGAGCTAAGAAGAGGAAGGTGTGGAGGAGAGGCTGATGAGGAATGGAGATATATAGAAGGAGAAAGAGGAGGGAGGTGGAGATTGTATGCTTTGCTTTTTAGCCTATGGTGATTGTTATGATACTAAGGCCAAAAGGAGAATAAGAATAACATGGAAGCGTGGTCCTTGAATCAAAAGACAAGATTAAATATTGCCAGGGCCAGGCCACCACCACCATCATCATCACCACCACCACCACCACCACCATCATGCGGTTACTTCGAACACCTAACATTGTCCTGCATAACTTTTAATGGCCTTTACACACATCATTCGACCTTTTCCCGCTTCTCATTCATCTCTCTCTCACACACATAGAGTCTAGAGAGAGAGAGAGGTTTGCGTAGCAAATTTTGGTTCACAATTAAGCAATTGAATTTGCTAGACAAAAAAAATTCAAGTATGAGATTACTCTTGAGAAAATATTTACTCATTGAAGATATATATTGAGGCTTCGCCATAGTAGCAACTTCTTATTATTTTTTGTATTGTATTGGTGTTGAATCTTATTTAAAATTGCACTGCATAATTCCAATGGAAAAAAAAGAGCCGATAAAAAAAAATAAAATAGTAATTTCATTTACCGAGAAAATAATCAACATACATATAGAGTTTGACTCATAACTTAACATATTAAAATTTTGGATTATAATATTGATGTTCAATCCCATATATGCTAATCTTTGTTGTCAAATGACTTCAAAATTGGAGGAGGTTTTTTTCACTCATAAATGTTATAAAATGTATATATGAATCACTATACACTGTTTTTGTTGTAGGAATCTCTCTTCCTTTAATCCATCAAAGAGATATGAACCCAATTTAGTGTCTTCGTTATTGGACAAGCCTTATCAAAATATAAACCATCATAATTGCATTATTTCTGCAGTTAGATATAGCAAAGGATACTTTTACTTTCGGATGAAAAGTTGAGAGCATATTCTGATTTGACACTCAAAATTCTTTTCTACTGTGCACATAGTGAGCATCAGAGGAATAAGCATCACCAGATAGCAACCTCTGAAGATTAACAATGATCAACATGGTCTTTTATTACATGTTGTAGATGATAGCAACATTGATCTTTTAGAACCTTACATGCCAGAAGTTTCACCAAACCTATGCTGCAGCTTTTTATTCGCAGATATCATGTCATGCCCCACTATAAAGTAATAGCAGTTCTTTTGGATTTAGGAATTTTTTGTTTATGTCATCCAAGTTTTCATGGAGAAGAATCTGAGTACTTGATGGTGA